CCCCCCCCCACCCTTCCCATATAGCTTCCTCATTTATTATATCTTCAATATTTTTCCGTTTACATATTCCCTGAAACACAGTGGCTTTATCATCTTTCTCCTGTTCCCCGCATAAAATAGGTGGACGCTGGAACAACAGGCTAACATTTCATCAATTGCTAACCTCCCAAAAGAGGACTACCTTGGCTAATTGCGCATATTCCATCAAAGGCTCAACCGGGAAGAAAATAAGTTACAAAAGAGAGAAAGAAAGAGGGAAAACAAGCCCAGCCAGCCCATAATGGCATTTCAACCTACGCCGATGGACATTTCCATCGCCATCACCACGCCCTCTTCTACGATTGCAACCAATGCCGAGCCCACTCTCTTAACTGAGCGCCGCATCACTCCCACATGGACCGTTTTACAAGTCAAGTCCAAGTTGGAAACTATGACTGGTGTTCCACCAGGTTGTCAACGCTTACGACTCAAGGCACCGAGTCGTCCTGACCAATGGGTTGATGGGGATGAAACAATTATTGGGGACTGGGGCTTGATTAAAGGGTGCGAGATCGAGGTATGTTTTTTATTTCTATGGTGAATGCTTTTATCTCTTCCTCCTTCCTGGGACATTTCGTTTTGCTAAACGAATGGCTTTTGTGGCCGTCACTTGAACCGATTGAGTCTAGATTGCAGAAAACATCGTGGGGGAATAGAGAAACGCTTCAAGGTCTTCTCGGTTTGAAATCTATAATGCAACACGCTAACGCCACACGATAACCATAGGTTCATGATTCCCGACCTCAATCTGCACGGCCGAATTTCAATGACCTGTCTTCTGTTGAGAAATACGTCCTCCCTACATCAACGTATGAATCGCTGCCGAATTCGGTTCTTGCATGGAAAAAGAACCAGAAACTTGGCCGCTTTGACCCCAATTCTCTCTCACCTGAAGAATCCATGCTTCACCAGACAGAGAAGGATAAAGTAGAAATCCAGAAAAGACGTAAGAAACAGGAGACTCTTTATTCTGCTTAGCATCTTCCCACCCATCAGAATCTAACACGGCAGACAGACATTGTCATCTCGAAACGTGCCATCATTCTTCCATCATCACCTCCGCATATTCGACGGGGAACCATTCGCTTCGTCGGGCCTGTCCCAACAATACCTTTCCCCGGTGTGGACATCACGGTTAATGAGGAATCAAGCATGGACTCTTTCCCTATCTGGATAGGAATCGAGCTTGATGAACCTACTGGGAAAAACGACGGCAGTGTGGGTGGCAGAAACTACTTCACTTGTCCGAACAAAACAGGAGTCTTTGTGAAGCCTGAAAAGGTTGAAGTGGGTGATTTTCCACCCTTGAGTTTGGATGACGAGCTGGAAGATGAGATGGAGGAAATATGATGGTGGATCTTTTCTAGCCGGACATTCGTCACGCTAAAAAAGGAGCAAGAAGAATAACTGGGTTGCAACACGGTGTATACATATAATTCCATTCAAGATACTCAAGTAGATCCACTCAGACCAACCTCCCGCTTATAATCGTTCGTACTCAAATCGCCGACAAAACAAGGAAAAGAAACACCGCCATCCCAATAACCGTACACTAAATCGCTAAAAACGGAAGTCAATAGCCCGGGGTGGGCTAAAAAAAAAAAAAAAAAAGAAGAAAAAGGCGAAGATCAATCCCGCATCCACAGGAAGTAGGGAGAAACGAGCCCTTATTACAAAAGTGATCGACAATGAACAGGTATCAAAAATGACGAAAAAAATGTGAAGTTGGCATAAAAGGCGTTCCAGACAGAAAAGGTTACGATGCTTTCGATTTACTTCCAGCCTTCTGCTTGCCTTTCCCTTTAGGTCTGCCCTTCCCAGAACCAGTGGTACGGCTTGCTTCTGCAGGAGAATCGCCCTCCATAAGGATAGACTTCGAAGCCAATGCAGGGCCAGAGCCGTCGTTTTCCATGGGAACACAGCCTTGTGTGAAAAATAACCGGGCATCGTTTTGATGTGTATTAGCGAAACTGTAGTAGTTGCCTGTGATTTTCAAGATCAGATTGCTTTTCTTGAGCTCGAGGGAAATTCATGTGGGGAAAATATTTGCAGATAGGAGTCGATTGACTTACCTCTCGGAACTTGAAAGACGCATCCCTTTCCAGCGCTGAATTGCACGCCTGACACATCAACCTGTACCCGGCCATGGCAAACATAGAAGACCATATGCATCTTTTTTGAGTTCTTGGGTTTCTTCACGCCTCCAGGGGGAAGTTCAACAACGCCAGAACCCAAGAACGAAGAGCTGAGCAGTTTGGCAAATCGAAACGTAGAATCCTTAACATCCCTAGTCTCAATACCCGATGGCGCGTATGCGATATCTGAACGACAAAAGTCAGAATTTTTGAAAAGCCACCGCGAAAATACAACAGCTTACCAAGAACCTCCTCCTCCTCAATACCGGCCTGGGTCTCCGGGTCCCATTTTCTAATGTAACCATGGAGCACTCCGCCTTCTTTCTCCCAAGGATCAGCGTAGTCTTCTTCTTCTTCCTCCTCGTCCGATTCTGCATCTTTATTCTTCCTCGATCTGGACTTCTTAGAAGATCGACGTTTACTTGTCTTCTTTTTCTCGGGCTCAATTTCTTCCGATCGAATGACCTCCCTAATGGTCGAAAGAGGATATCGCTGGCCTTCGGCGGCTTCTCCATCGCCAAAGACGCACCGTTCATTTTTCCAGTATGCGAGAGGCCTCACAGACACCCTGCCCGACCGAGTGTGGGTAGCACTGCTCTCTGTGGGTATTTCACGTTTGAGAATATACAATCCTCGCTTCTTCAAAGGCCCAGCACGGTCCGCGTAATTCTCAACAACCTTGCTCAATTCGGGGTTCAATGACACTTTCTCGTCCTGGGGTTTTTTATCCGAAGTCTTTGCTTTCTTCAATGCCCTTTGTTCAATCACTTCATTGCCGTCTTTGCGCTGGGATTTTGGGGGCCTTCCAGGGCGCTTGCGCTTCTGCGTAGACTCTTGCTCATCCGCTTCCTTTAGCTGCGCAGTAGGTTGAGTCTTGTTCCTGTTGCCCAATACATCCTTCTTGCTCCGGGGAAGGGGCTTTGGTTGTTCTGTTTTGCGAGAATCCGACGCCAAACTTGTGAATGATTTCTCGTCTGGGTCATTTTGATCGGGTTCCTCCGCACCTACAACAGACTGGTCGCCGGCATCGAAGTTGTTAATAAAGTCGTGTCGTATTTGTTCAAAAGTATTTTCATCCCCATTCAACTGGCTGTTTGTGTCGCTGTCAGAAAAGTCTACCGTAAATGCTGGCTCGGATGTCTTGATGTTTGCCTTGTTCTTTCTCCGCGTGCCGTTCAGGTGATTCGAAGATGGAGCATTAATGGAGCGATTGGTAAGAGGAGACACATCCTTCCGCGAGCCTCCCTTTCCGCTTCCTAGACCCTTGCCATCGGAAGGGCTAGAAGAGGGAGCATCATGTTGCGGGCTAGGGGAAGATCGTAAGCCTGGGGTCCTCCGCGGCGAACCCGTCAAACCGGTCTTCATGGGAGACCGTGCAACGGGAGGTGGGAAGTAAGACCCCCGTCTGCTATTTGCGCCGCTAAGGAAATCTGAAGGATCGGGTGCATTTCCTTTAGTTTCAGAGAGTGAGCTCAGCGCCTGCGAACTGTGAGGCTGCGCTTACCCTCATCCATTGACATACCATCCGAGCCCATCGTAGTTTCGTTTCCATTGATGTTGAAGCCATCTTCTTGGGCCGGAGATTTCTCGGGTGATGAGAACATCCCTTCGATCTCTTCCATTCCATGCTCGTCGAGCCGGCCTTCCTTCAGAGTAATACCAGTGCGCCTAGGGTTATAAGCCGGATCAGCTTTCCATGTAACCTGTTGATGATGGTTGACAAACAGTCTTCCATCGCAAACACTAACCTCCCAAGTGTACCAACATTGGAATAATCATAATCGCGAGCTTTGCTAGGCCCTCGGGGAGCCATTGTCGCGGAAGTTCAAAAAATGCGGGACTTCGTTTCAGCGACGGGCATCAAAGCAAAAGCAAAAATGAGTTGAATATCAATTTCTGGGAACCTATATCAACTCTAGGCCGGAGTTGACTGGGCAAGCCAGGATGTCGTTGGTAAAAAAAGACGGGGAGCAGAAAGAAGAGATGGTAAACGCTGCGGAGGGGAATTGGAATTCCATGCTGGGCGGCGAGCAACACGCGCGGAAGCGCCGCTAGTCCGGAACGGTTTTGGACGCGTCCAAGTTCATTTTCAATATCTTCTGGGACACATTCATGATCGCTATTTGTTGTTGTCAAGCCTTGATCACTCTTTGAAGCTTTTCTCCTTGGATTCTACTGGTCAAATATTAAGCTATACAGTCTATACTTTGCGATGGAGAATACCAACCGGGGGGCTGACAATGTGCCCAAAGGGACCAATACTTTTATCCCTCCCAGTATAGATTGCGCCCGGTTGTTCTCTGGTGAATCCTTTTCGTATTATTCGCCTTGCCCTGTCGCAATTACGAGTCAAGACGTATCATCGGTCTCCCTCGATGATGCCAATGGATTTACGCCATGTGTTTTGGGTGTCGACGAAGCCGGCCGTGGACCTGTTCTGGGTCCCATGGTTTACAGTGCCTTCTATCTACCACGCGACCTCCATCACTCCCTCCTAGCCCGAGATCACAGCTTCGATGACAGCAAAGTCCTTACGCCTGGTGTGCGCGCCAATTTGATGCAGATGCTTTGTACCCCGGGCCATTCCCTTTTTGAATCCTGCGGGTGGGCAACAAAACTTCTTTCTGCGCGTGATATCTCATCGGGGATGATGCGACCGGGGGCCGGGGCCTACAACCTAAACGCGCAGGCAATGGATGCAACTATTGAGATTATCCGCGGGATTGTAGAGGAGCGAAGTGTGGATGTCAAAGAGGTGTACATCGATACGATTGGAAATCCGGCAACATATCAACAGAAGTTGGAGCGGATTTTCCCCACACTTAAAATCACTGTTGCGAAAAAGGCGGATTCTCTGTATCCTTGTGTCAGTGCCGCAAGTGTAGCCGCGAAAGTGACCAGGGATATTGCCCTGGAACTGAGCTACGGAATAGTGCGCGAAGCTTTGAAAATCGAAAAAGGCACCACCGAGGGCTGGGGCAGTGGGTATCCCTCTGACTCCAAATGTTCCAGCTGGCTTCGAAAAAATATGAACCCAATCTTCGGATGGGGTAACGAGTGTCGATTTAGCTGGGGCACCGCAAAGGAAATGCTCGAAACGAAAGGGGGCACCAAGGTCGATTGGCCGGTCGAAGAGGAAGAGGGAGCGCAACTCAAAGACTTTCTCTTGCTGTCTGGCACAACAAAGGGTACAGATCGAGATGATCTGCGTGATTGGTATGGGCACAAAGCAGCAGAGATTCTTTGATATCCATGGCACTGCTACCGTGTAATGGGCCCCTGGATGACGCTATGATACCCCGTTTTGTTTATTAACTTTCGATGAATGATGTAATATAATAGTACAATCATGAGTGATTCAAAATCCAGACCCGCTGGATATCTCCATAAGAACTCCCTAAGAGAGAAAGAAAGAGAACACAAGAATGTGGTGCCGTGATCAACCACCCTAAGAAAGCAAATACAGCACTCTTGTCAAAATGGAATAAATGCTTTGAGCGTTTATAAGCAAAGACCGAAATTTCAAAGGGTTGCAGTCGGAAAGTAGTAGTTATCCCACAGATATTCATAATCTTCAACAACGCTACCCACCAAGTCAATCAGCGGTTTACCCTTCATCTTTCCGGTCAAATATTTCAGCCAGGACCTATTTATTCATTGTTAGCCTCAAAGGGGACAGGTGCAAGGAAAGATGACCATACTTGGTAATCTTCTCATAAAATGCACCACGCATAAGCCACCAGCCCATGGCCCACCCACGCTTCCTCAACTCCCCTCGTTCAAGTCCTGTGAGTCCTCGAAGGCCTCCGGCAACTCTGTCCCGGAAATCCGACTTGGCGAGCTGTCGGCAGCCGTACTCCATTCCAAATCCAATAAGCCAAGGTCTCCAACTTCGTTTATCCCCACTCCACTTCTGCATTGCCAATGCATAAACTACTGGCCGAAGAATGTATAAGACTTCTGCTAGCTGACCTTGACCAGTAACTCGGTGCAGAAGCGCGTTGGGTGGCTTGATATCATCGGCTGTAAGTACCTTTGAGATAAGATAGTTGGACACATCATTCACATCAGGCAGGGATGGAAGCGACAGTCCCGTCCGTGGCATGGTCCAGCTCAGATCAGATGACCGCTCGCTCACGGGGATCTGCATCCCATTCCAGTCACTGTTTTCCTCTTCTGCAGATCTCGGATCAACTTCACGCTCTGGCAAAGGAGGACTAACAAGCGGCCGAGATTTAGTGAGGCGGAGCAAGAGCAAGCGGCAAATTGCTTTGGCGGCTTCGATGAAGATAACAACGCGCCAATGGATCTTCTCGCCACGTCGTCGCGCAATCATTTCCCAGAGCAATTCGGTATATTGAATCATTTGCAAAGTGAGTGCCACTTTGTGATAAAATGGAGAGCGAGAAGTCCAATACTTGGTGTATCGAGAATGTGGTGTAGGGGTCTGTCGGTGAATGCTTGGTGGGAGCCTGGAAATTACTCGTGAGACGAGGGAATCGTGGTATAATGATAGAAGTTGGACCCCAGAGTGTACTATTTGAATTTAGAGGATGACCAGCGTTTACGGGGGTAACCTAGCTCTTGAACGTACCGCATTCCGAGGATATCTCAGAGTCGCGGTAACGGCCTTGATAACTGTCAGTCCTCGATCTTGATGTACAGGATTCGGTGATCATATATCTGCTCTAACCTGGTATTATGTATGTTAAGGACCTCAGCGCAGACTCGACTTGGCCTACAGAGCTGGCGTTCTTCGTCACAAAATCTTCATATAGCGGAAGCCATTTGGACGGTTGCAGCAACGCTGCAGGTATCAGGCTGTTGGCTTTCTGCGCTGACTCCATGTCTCAAAGGATCCGTATTAAATCACGGATGCATCAAAAAAGACCTGAATTCGAATGACTTTTTGGGCGAAAGACCTGGAGCAGACGAGACGACTGTAGTAAGATGAATCAGATGGCCGATGATGGACAGTACGGCACGTGTCCCGCGTTGGCCAAGGAAATTGTACCGAGGTTCCCTGGATTCGGTAGTTACGTACGTATCTCCAAACGGCAGACTAATTACGAGTTGACATCGAACTCTTTAGTCAACATTAAATACTACGTACATGGTAAATTTATCATAGATCTCTCTGAGCTCCACACGAAATAGCGCATACCCACATAGATACCATTTCAGTGATAAGGCACACCAAAGCAAATTGTATTGGTGTTGAGACTGATGGCTCTCCCAGCTATAATGTTTATCTCTGCACTGAGACTTACACTCGCGAATATATACCTTCACTTTTCAGGAATACTTCTGCGGGATCAGATTTATGTAATACTTTCCGGTAATCCTTGTCCATCTGCGATTTCCATAGTAGTTTGTGAGTGATATGGAGGATTACCTTAGATATTCTGGGGAAGGCTCTAACAGGCTAATTCATTTTAACTTACCAAATTCAGATTGCATCCGGTCTTATGAGATAATGATTACTGCATAGAGATATAGAGTCCCGTGATATATTTAGTCAGATATACAACAATAAATCATGCGTTGTGGATTAAATGATATCTCCCTAATATTACTCATCTGCAAACTTCCATAATCCCTCGGGGCGGGTTGCTTCTTTATATCGTTCCATAATCCTTTCACTCTCTAGCTTATGAGCTTCTTCGTGGTCATCGTCTAACTCCTGTGTACTAGGCATGTCAGCACGCCAGAATCCAGGGGGCGTGCGTGGGCGCTGATGATTATGCCTGTGTTTTCCAAAATCATTGGCAAGACGCTTTGCCTTTGCCTCCTGAAGGAGATCCTCGCGCTCTCTTACACTCGACTTATGGATCAAATTCTTTTCGTCTCCCATGTAATCTTCAAGTATCATTTGATCTTTTTCGTCCTGGCAATATCCATTCGCACGGGTCGGCAGACCACCAAGGCGTACCATAGCCCGGAATTTGTCTCCACAACAGTCTGGGCGCGTACAACCACTTACGAATTTCCGCTCATCTTTTCGGCGAACAACAGTGTCAAACGCGAAGTCAAGACCCTGGTTGTTCTCTGAATTTATTTTGAAATGGCTCAACTTTAGTCGGTGACGCGGGAGAGTTCGGTAAGGTTGATCATTGGAGCGCACATCTGATCTGCCATCACGATCGTCGGAATGACGTCCAAGAGTGTTATCAGCAAACTGCTGCGGTGTATTTTGTCTTTCCTGTGGTGATTTCATCTTCGAAGCGCTATCACTTGCATCAGCAGCACATGTCCACGTTGTTGTTGTTGTTGTTGTTGTTTTTTCCGGACTAACAGGGGCAGAGGCACGTAAGCGTTGTCCTCCAAAATCAATCGAGACTCCGGGGATTTTTGGTATTTTCAGTGGTGGCTTGGAAGGCAACGGTCTTTCAAGAAGATCTAGTAGACGGGACTGGACAGGTCTGCCAGTAACGCTCGAGATCGCTTGATCCATTGAGTTGGACAAAGACTTGTCCAATTTTTTTATTGCTTTAGCGCCCGGACAGCTTTCATCGCCGTCTTCTGCAATCAAAGGTATAGCATGCCTGGTGACCCTTTCCATGTTTCTCTTTGGTTTCATATCTGCTCGACTTCCGGGGTAATTGGCGGTCCGCAAGTTACTATCAATGGGCTGAAGTAGTGTAGTGTGCTGAGACAACCCTTTATCTGATGCATATTGGCGATCATTGCGATGGTTTTGCTGCGGACCTCTAATTGGCACTGACCCACTACCAGTGAAAGCACCAGCGTGATGTTGGTCGAAACCAGAGCCTTTCTTCTTTCTTGGTGTCTCGACAGTGCTGCCGATATCGTCCAAATTCTGCGTTCCTGTAGGGACACAATACTGCCATGGGTTTTGCAATGGGCTGGAAGACAAGTCTTTACTTTTGATGACAACGGGCTCCTCAGATCTACCTGTTTCCAAAGCACCATTTTGAGATGCAAATTCCGGTGATGACGATCGCTTTCTTTTCAGAGTCCTAGGCACCGGTACAATGGAGGCACCAGAGGGGTGATCAGTTGAGATAGCTTCTTCACTTTCAGATGAGGCGGTTGACTGTGTTGAAATTAAATCCGATTCGGTGTACAATAGCTGAACTTGCCGGTTCCCATTGCTGATCTCAGTTTTAGCCTTCGGCTTATGGATGGTTGTATCCGAGCTGCTTTGGGCCAGATGTGGTCCTGCGGTCAGAGTTTCAACTCCTTTTTTTTGGCCGACGGATGATGATGGCTCGAGCACAGAGAATCTCGGTTCTGAATCTGACAGCTGCACTCGGTTCTTGCTGTTGGTTCCATGAAGCCTCCGGAATTTTACCGAGGTGCCATCTAAAAGCGTAGTACTAAACTCCTCGCCATTAAGGAAGCCTTGCCATTGCTCTAGCTTTTGTTTCTGTTTCTTGATTTGTTTTCTGAGTTTTCCAGATGTTTCAAGGAGCGTCCGTGTTTCCCTGTATAGATCTTTGTATTTCATACGCAGTGCTTTGTTCTGTTCCTTCGTGTCTGGTTCGTCACCTTCCACGCCGTCCCTCTCATAAAGCTCGGGAATATTTCTCGGTGCATATTTTTCTTCTATGCAATCGTAGAAGTCGACGATCTTTGGATCAATCTCAAACGAGCTCAATTCATCCCTTAAGACTGAGTTTTCGTACTCGAGTTCCCCAGCTCTCGTTGTGGTAATTATTTGCGTGTCATTGGCGAGCTTGACCTTTTCTTCGGCTTTCTTGACTCGTGCATCGCAAACAGCAAGCTCAGAATTCAATCGTTGGTAGGCATCATCAAAAGAGGTCTCAAAGGTCTGGGCAACAGATGTATGGAGTTGTCTTAGAATCTCCATCGAGTTTGTTTTGGTGGTACGGAGTACGGAGGAATATGTCAGCCAAACTACGCGTAGAACGCGCCCATGACATAGACTATCTATTGGGAGCTTATCGGCACTCGGTTGTTATCTAAGCGACCCTTTTGACGTAACTTAGCATCATTTCCAAATCGCCATTCAGCAAGCCCTCCTTATGAAGTTGCTCGTTCACGTGCAACTTGCTGTATATACGCTCTAGAGGCTTGTTTTTGGAAATGTCGAAACGATGCAGTGATGCTATATCTACTGATATTTTTCTGCGGAAGCGTATATGTATGGTTGAAGATCGCGGTGTCGACCGCCTCTCGTCCTTGAGCGACGAACTGCTGCTTCATATCTTGTCCTTTCTTCCAATCCGGTCACTAATTAGTTGCCAGAGGTGCTCGGTTTGTAATTCATTCATGTCTGTGGCTGGCTGACGCGATTTACAGGTTGTCACATCGGTTTCATGCTTTGGCCGGAGACTCGGAGCTCTGGAAGAGGCAATATTATTCACAATGGGTACGACCTCGTGCACGCCGATTAGCAAATGTGAGACGTTCCACCTTTCCTTCGTCAAAAGCAGAGTACTCGCCCAAAGTGTCAACATGGCTAGATCACAGCCATCTAGCGGGAGATGGGAAAATTACAAATTGGAAAAGGCAGTATCGACTTAGGCACAACTGGTCCAAAGGCATTTGTCGGGTGACTGAAGTCGAATTTCCACAATATTCATCCCCTCAAATGCTAGCAAAGTTCTGCGCCGGTGTTGTTATTACAGCAGACTCCAATTCTGGGCTCCGGGCTTGGGTTGCAAGGAATCCGAAATCCTGCATAGCAAGGGTCTCTTTCTCAGAATCCCAGACGAAAACACGTTTTGTACCGACAGCTTTAACGGCAACCCGCGGTTTGAATCCACATTTGATTGATATTGCAGTGGGGTTTCAGAGCGGATATATCAGCATGTATAATTTGGACCTCGAAACATCACAGCTAAATTTACGCTTTACTTATGCTGGATCTGCCGATGGGGCTATAAGCGCAATGGCATCATCGTCTCCATATATTCTGACAGTCTCACATCATAAGGATCTTTCGTTATATGAAATCTCGTCTGGGCTCAACGATCCGGGAAAGCCTGGTTTGCCAAAGGGAGCGCGCCTTCTTGCCTCTCTCAAGGCGGACAATATCGTAGCACCAACATCGCTATGCATTCGTGTTGCTCATTCCGAAATAATCGCCTCTATTGTTTATAGCTTTTTTCATCTTGGCTGCGGCTGGTCACTAGGGATCCAGGAATTACGCCTGGACAGTAATGGCCAACAGCTCGATTCGCGGCTTGCGACAACTGTGGACTCTCAATACAACGCGCGGTCTCTACAACCACTGGGCCGATATAGGGGGGGAGGTAATTTGAATTCAGGGCATCGGTCCTCACACAGTGAGCCATTCAGAATATCATCTGAGCCGACTATACTGCACCAAGAGCCGCCTACCTCAATATCATATTCACATCCCTATCTTCTGGCTTCCCACGCGGACAACACTCTCACTATGCACCTCGTTGTCTCCACATCCACGGGTCTTTTTGTCAAAGGTGGCCGAAGGCTTTGGGGTCATACATCATCGGTCTCCGCTGTGCAAGTTAGTGATCGTGGCAAAGCAGTATCTGTTAGCTCACGCGGGGATGAAATCAGAATATGGGAACTTGAAACAATTATATCATCTCCATTTGGGGCACAAAAGACATTGAAGGGAGAGAGCAGTATCCCGATTAGCCCCGAAAACAAGCGATGCGAAAGGCAGGAAGGCGTCAGCATAATGTCTGGCATCGCCAGCTTTGATTTTAAGGAAACCCAATTGATCTCCGATGGTGCATCTACTAAGCTGGCTCAAATACGAGGCTGCGTTGGGTTTGATGATGAACGAGTGCTTCTGCTTCGAGAGCGGGAAGTTGGAACACAGTTACTTGAATGTTATGACTTCACATGAACCAGACATGTGAATAGATCTACAAGCCTCCCTCTCTGATTCTTTATCAAACGGATGCCCAATCTCTCTTAGTGTGTGTTTACGTAGAATCCAGTGTTATTCCCCGCCAGAATTAATTTTTGTCTATGTACATAAATAATTCTTTCTGGCGTCCTACTTCGGGTTCTCATATCTACATATCACGGCGACCACCATTGTCTCCTGTGGAATCTTTGGCCTAGGTATCTCCCCATGGTCTGAGGCCTGAGGCAAGATCCGCTTATTTGATTTTTTTTTTTTTCATACATAGTTACTATTCCGATGGTTAGTTAGAAGATGATATCGAAATTACACCAACAATCAAGGTGTACATTTCTGGGGACCTTGGAGTGCCTCATATATAACATAAGGTATGGACAGGTTCCGTTTGTATCTCGGACACCATCTAAGTTGCCCCGCTACCCAGTCATTACTCTCGAATAAAACATCAATTCCACATGGCGAAAGGTCACGGAAATCGGCTGCTGCACTGCCTTCGGCCGCCATTCAACCTCCCAGATATTCCATATAGCTAACCCTTACAAGCAACATCGGATGTGACCTACTCATTGATAGATTGCAATGGATACAATCACCAATCATCTATAGTCAGATTATGACCATGTCAGGATAGCAAACGCCAAATGGTCTGACGATGATGCTCCCCGAAGCAATCAATTCTAATGACGCTGCCCCCTCTACTGGCCTCACTTACGGCGCATCCTGAGTCTTTCTACCGTGGTTTAGCCATTGACATACAGGATATTATCCGAGTCTAAATCATCCATTTCTAAGGGGTTGTTTGTGGCCAGACAACACCTGCCCGGAAACGAGTTCCCTCAAAACAACAACCTTCCTGTTGCCTAGTATAATTTAAGGCGGCAGCTTTAATTGTAGGTTCTTTTATTCAACTTCTCTTTTCGTCTAACTTATTTTATTTTCGAGAAAGGACCAGGCTTGTTTTTTTTTTTTTTTTTGTGTGCCCATCTTTGCTGCAACGGTCAGTCAGAAATCTAGCCAGGAACGGCGGGAACTGTCTCTCCCCGCACTAACGTTAGCATATCTCCATTGCAATAATAATTTTGTTCCTGCTAATCAATTTCTGATCGCCACTTCTTTCAGATCTCTCATCACGCCCTTTCTCATAATCAACCCCTTCCAATCCCATTTCATACCATCTATCAAAATGGAATACCAAGCTGGAGGCCGTGGATGCTTTAACTGTGAGTTTACATAAAAAGTACTTGAGAATTCAAGGCGTGTCACAATGTGACTTTTTTTTTTTCCCACATTCAGCAACTTTTTACTCACATCAACGATTGCCCTTCCCCTCCCTCCCCTCGAAAAAAAAGTCATTCTTTATAGCTGCATTTATCCCATTGAACTCGGCTCAGCTTGGAAAACCTGCTGTTCATCTTTGATACTGGATTGATATTCTCATTGTATTTCATTTGTGCGGCCAGGTGGAAAAATTACACAAGGCTTTTTTTTTTCTCCCCCCCCCAACCCCCCCAACTAAAAAGACATGTATCGCGGTTCTCTCTTTGGGAAGATAAAACTAGAATGACTTTTGTTGTGGGATCAATTTGGTGGCTTACTCCGCTCATCCTGATTAGAAGTATGCAGGGTCACATCAGTGCGAAAAAAAAAAAAAAAAGAGAGAGAGAGAGAGAGAGAGAGAGAGAGAAAACTAACTTTTTTTTCCCTTCAACAGGCGGCGATGCTTCGCACCAGGTAAAATAACATTCCCTAAACTCTCCCAGCATCTGGGGCTCATTTCAATCCATGAACATGGGGTGGTGTTAAAGACATGAAGCTCATACTCTTTTGCCTCTAGGCCCGCGACTGCCCCAAGAAGGGTACTCCTACTTGGTATGCCCTTATCTCTGTCCTATTCAAAGTGCAATATGGCTAATCCGTTTACAATAGCTACAACTGCGGCGGTATGTCATTGTCCCATGCTTACTTGGTTATAAAACAGTGTTATCTTTGATTCTCTTGGTTTCTAACAGAGTTGGGAAAAATGCAGGACAGGGACATGTCAGTAAGTAAATCCAATACTCCATCTCTACTTATCATTATTTCCAGAGAGAGTATGCCACTGACATGTTTTTTCTCACTAGGCCGGGAATGCACAGTAGCCCCTAAGGAGAAGTCTTGCTACCGTTGCGGTGTTGCCGGCCATATCTCCCGTGAATGCCCTCAGGCAGGCTCTGGTGACGGCTACAGTGGCCCTACTGGCGGCCAAGAATGTTACAAGTGCGGTCAAGTCGGACACATTGCTCGCAACTGCTCTCAGGGCGGTGCTTTCAGCGGATATGGTGGCTTTAGCGGGCGCCAGCAGACCTGCTATTCTTGCGGTGGCTTCGGCCACATGGCTCGCGACTGCACCCAAGGCCAAAAGTGCTACAACTGTACGATCGGTTCAGCTCGATTTACTGGAATTGGCTAATAAAATCACAGGTGGCGAAGTTGGCCATGTCTCCCGCGACTGCCCTACCGAAGCCAAGGGTGAACGTGTTTGCTACAAGTGCAAGCAACCCGGACACGTCCAGTCAGCCTGTCCCAACTAGGTCGGCATCCCCTTTGGATCGTTTGTCTCTTCTATCGCGCTAGTATACATGGAAAGAGGCTCTTGAGAAAATTATCTCCGATTGAGCCGTGTCATTTGCGACGATTTGAAGTTCCATGTTCTCCTTTTCTCTGAATCCACAGCGTGGCTACGTCTTGGTCTGCGAACCTGGTTTTCAGTACTATTCTCCTACCCCCCCCGGTTCAAAGGTATCCGGGTGATACCAGCTTCTAACAATGTTGATGATATTATGTCTTCTGATTCCAAACACGGGCAGGGAGAAATATTGGTTTCAAAACGGACAGGCGGTCTGGATTGATGGACAAATGTGATGGATACCCTCTGATGTGACGCGGAAAGCTAAAATTGTCCACAAATTTTAAAACCCCCAAAAGCAATCTTGATTTAACATTGTTTACCTTTCATGGCTACTTTGTACCTAGCTTCATCATTTTATAATGTTGAGTCCGGTGAGGTTTATAAATTACACAATCCAACCATGAAATGAAAAAAAAGTACAGCAAAAGCTTGACGCTTGGTCCATTATGCTTATCGTATGCTTAAGTCATTTTCTTGGGGTCTGGTGGCCAATTCTATAGTGTGATCCTATCGCGAAGCTATCTTATACTATCCAATACTAGGGTCCTCGCAGCTTTCTATACCTTTGCCCCTCTCCCTGAGTATATCGAGCCCTACTCTTGAGCCAATATCTACCCACAGACGTTTCGTGGATTTTCTTCAAGGGCTGAGGTTTACAGGTCCTAATATCGAAGTGTGAGACTTTCAATAAGTTGTGGCATTGCGGATATATCAATTGTGGGAGAGTAATAACAAGCCAATGCTTCATGAGCTGCAGCTGCACATCATGGCTCTCTTGTATTTAGGAATATCACCACAGAACCGTTCCTCCTCTTCCTTGTCCAAGTCCCATTCGTCTTTGAATGGGTTTAGGGCCATTTGCATCACACGCCCAAGAACATCCCGGTCTCCTTTGCGTTCTACACGTTCAATCACTTCATCAAGAACCCATCCGCGTGGAAGGAACTGTAAAAAAACAGCCTTTAGTAAATAGGTCGAGCAACTCGGGATATAATTTGATACTGACCTTGGGGTTAACCTCTTTCATGGCTTTCTGTCTTTGTTCGTCGCTACTTGGGCCCCAATCCTCGAGAACCCGAAGTCTCCAGCTATCGAGCCATCTGCCAATGCGTTCCTTTGCAGTGTCCTCGGTGTATCCAACCCCACCAAACCCTTCACTGTGGAAAAATATAGGAGCTACATCTTTCCTTTGGTCCTCAGTCTCAACATCGGTAAGTGCCACATGAGAAAGTCGCCTGAAGAAATGATTGAAGTCAAGCTCCAGAGCCTCTAATGTATCGAGCATTTCCGAGAATAGCTCCTGAAAATCTGATTCCTTTTGGGTTTTCAACCCAAGTCTTCTGCCCATGAGGCGCTTATACTCTGTCAAAAACACGGCCCTAAATTCATCACCCGTTCGCTCGATGATATCTTCTGCTCGCTTAATGACAGCAGGGGCAGATTCCTCTGTTAACCCCTCCCTGACGAATTTTTCTTCGTCAACTTTATCCCCAGCACCAATGAGCTCCCCTAAGGATTCCCCGAGCCGTACCAAATTCCACCAAATTATGGTAGGCTGGTTCTTGTATGAGTACCTCAATAATTGATCATCATGGTTTGGCGTATAATGAGGGTCAAAGTTATCCATAAAAGCAAACGGACCATAGTCAATCGACAGGCCATAAATCGATGTATTATCAGTATTCAGAACGCCATTCATAAAACCATATGCCTGCCAGGAGGCAACGGTTTTTGCATTGCGTCGAGCTATCTCTCGATACAATCTTGCAAATCGGTTTTCCTGGATGCCTTGGTGCTCTTGTATCTCATTGGGGGAGATACCTGTGGCAGGGGTATCCACAATGGCTGAAGGGTGCTCTTTACCCAATGATACAGCTGCTGGAAGGGATTCCCAGCCCTGAAAGACATCTTCGGCAACAAATGTTGCTAACTTCCTCACCAAATATCGGTCACCACGCGCACGTAGAAGATCAAAGGTTCCGATTCTTAGCCAGGATTCGGCAAACCGAGCCACTATGGCCCCAGGTTCAATGCGCTCCCGCAAGACCTTCGACTTCGGCAGTAAAGTGATGGACAGTGCTCTTGTAGTAGGTATGCCAAGAGCATAAAGGGCTGGCAGATATTTCGTTAGCACCGTCGGATTTTTGGATATGAGCTGCTTTTATACCTTCTGACACGATAAATTCACGAATGCTCGATCGAAGAACAGCCTTCCCATCAGCGAAACGCGAGTAAGGTGTTCTTCCAGCCCCTTTAAGTTGAAGCTCGTACCGGGCGTTTGTCTTAGGGTTAATGCTCTCGAAAAGACTAATTGCACGCTATTTCAAAATTAGAAAAAAAGGTACTCCCAGTTCATGTTTGGAGGGAAAACCTACACCGTCTCCAAGCTGCCCCGCCCATGAGCCACTGCAAGTCTGTCAACACGGAAGATTTGATTTGTGGGGAAAGATACGAGGGTTTTGTGCATCATACAATTGCCATCCTTCGGGTCGTTAATACACGGTCAACGGAATTGAGGGCTGGAAGGATTTGGGTGATATTTGAGACTTACCACCGTAACACTGTGCCCATGGGTAAATTCCTCCATTCTGTTCGCTCCAAAAGATTTCGTTTCCAGCAACCATCGATTTGAACTGAGCCGTGTGTTCTTCCCCTGGTTTCAGCCCAAGATCATCCATTGCTTTAGGACTAATCCCTAAGAGCTCAGTATCCTCTGCTGTTTCCGGGCGAACAAAAGTATATAGAGCGCCTTTCACCAGGCGGGGACCAAGGGTTTCTCTTGGGGCTCCATGGGAGGATTCGGGGGTCTCGAATGCTGGATCTGGGGGAAGCTTGGTTGTGAAGACATTGGACTTTGATAACTCCGCGACGGAAACCCCCGCGGAGGCATTTGAAAAATGAGACGCCATTTGGGTGACGCTGTTTCGAATAGCCTGAGACTGGCGTAGAGTACTCCTAACAGACATTTACGGACCGTTTATCACAAAGAATGCTGGAAACCCCATGGAAACCGTTCAGCTATATAGGATCGAGGTATACAGTGCCACTGAAATTTGTGTGAGAATCGCTGATAACGTGATAGATTCGGGTTCGTAAGCAAGTTACTTCGTACCTACTACCTACAGGTAGGGAAGAGCCGAGCGATGACATCATCTTCCGGTTATGAATGATACCCAGATACCCCTGGTAACTGAGTACATATGTCATCTCTGCGCCATCCTTTCTTTGATAACTACATGGGCAATCCTTCTATTTCTATTTTTTTTTATAACCCCAAGCTACAGTCAGCTTACCGCACACCGCACTGAATCTTGGCGGAAAGAACATATTAATCACAGTACTTCATACTTGGATAAATAAATGCCACTTAAATATATCACTAAACTAAAAAGGCGCCTGGAAATATACATAGTAAGGTACTTAATTATGCCTTATATATGTGTGTATTTTATGGTCCATTCTGGTTGAAATAATAATACAAATTAACCCACCCCTCCACAATGTTAAACATGGAACAGATTTTGGTGGTTCTGAGCAATGAGCATCATACACCATCAATATTAATAAAAGATGGTTCCGTAATTGACATTTACATAAGAGCTGCTAAGAAAAAGAAAAGAAAAGAAAAGAAAAGAAAAGAAAAGAAGGAAAACGAACTAGTTACCTTGTGCATATTCTGACTCAAACATCTAAAGCGCGTAATTCACCACTAGATAATTCTGAGTGTGAAGTTGAATGATCATGTTTTGATTCAGGTTCCTGTTATGAGTTCAATAATTCCCAGCTTGAGACCCTATTTTACAAAATACAATGCTGTTTGTTAACTACTGCCGTAGTAGCTTGGATATGACACAGGAACTGCCTGGTACAAGACAGCGGGAGACACCAGTATTAATCGTGAACTTGTCGAGTCGATAAAGACCGCAATCAAGCTAGGTTACTATCATCTAGATGGAGCTGAGGTCTATGGCCCTGAAGCAGAGCTGGGTCTTTTTTACCAAAGTGGTGTAGAGAGAGAAGAAAACTTTTTGTGACAACCAAAGTCCAGAAAAATATCGCAGGCATCCCAAATGCAATTGAAAGAAGCCTGGAGAAGCTATGTTGACTTGTATGTAACATCATACCAATGGTACCATTCATGCGTTTTGGAACTGATCATGCTTGAAGGTACTTGATCCATTCGCCACACTTTACGGTGCCATGGAAAGAGTAAAGGACGCTGGAAAGGCTCGATCGATTGTGGTTTCCAATTTTCTGCAATCTCACCTTGACACAGTCTCAAAAAGTGCCAGAATTCCTCCATCGACCAACCAAATTGAGTACCATCCATATCTACAACACGGCAATCTCGTTCCATTCCAAAAAGATAAAGGGATACAAACAGCCAGCTATGCGCCCTTGACTCCCGCTACCTGGCGAAAGGTGGGCCTTTGGATGAACTGCTATCCAGACTGGCAACCAAGTATGCAGTCGACGAAGGAGAGATCTTGCTTCGATGGTCCTTGAATCGTAGTATTGTTACCATCACGACATGCAGCAAAGAATCACGCCTCATCAGCTATCCGCGCGCCCCAAATTTTACATTGACACCAAAAGAGATAGACGGGATCTCCGAACTCGGCTAGCAGAGGCATTTTAGAGTGTTTTGGCCGAATAAATTTGCAATTGATGATCCTTCATAAAAAGTATGGAGCGAGTGGTGTACTGGCAGCAATGCTTTACGAATTGCCCCTAAACCGAGTGAGCAACGGGTCAAGGGTCAAGGAAGGTGGTAGTATAGTATCTTTTACTCATATTTGATGACCCTGAGGGGGACTTGGGTTTGTAAGACTGATGAGATAGAATTTTAGCCCACTTGAGTACTGCTCTACTCTATTCTGTACCTAGTCTCCTTGGGTGTTATTTCCTATGTCAAAAATAAGAACAATAATAGCAACAGTACATAGATGTAGATGGAACAATTATCCAGGTTAACAACTAGTTACCTAGGCATTTACCTACAGGTAGGTAACTACCTGGTTACGGAGTACTCCGTACTGCCAAGAATCTCCGCTCCAACGGCAGTTCCTCTTTCCCAAGACAGTCAGTCAACCAATTAATCAACCAACAAGCTAGCCAGCCAGCCCCCTTCATGGGTATTCCCTCACGACCCCAATGATCCAGAAAAAAAAGTACTGTGACCAAAAGATTCTGATTCCATTGATGCAAAGATCACTTGCTTTGTCTAGCGCCCTCCTTCCTCAGCTAGTTACTTAGAGCTGGCTTCACTCCTGTGGCAGGCTTACAAACACCTACACACCCAACTGATAAATTTCACCTGAGCAAAAAGCTACGCTAGCTGTCTTGGGATACAGCTGCTTGAACATTCATTGCTTTTATCTAGTGGGATAACAGGCTTTGCCATATGCTCATTTGGTTACGCAAATTGTCTCTGAAGACTAAAACTGCACCGACGCATTATAGTAACACAAGGAGGGGGTACAAAAGCCAGGTAGTTTGGGTGGGTGGAATAGTTCAACAACCCTATCTTCTTGGGTATATTCTTCGCCTCTTTCTGCTTGGTTATCTGGGTTTCGGATTTGAGTTACGATACGCCATCTAATGCTTCCACTAGCTCCGCATCCAATCTGAAGGGGGGGGGAACAAGGCATATGAAATCGATTATCTTGAGTGAAAAAGAGAGAAAACAAAGAAGATAAATCCTGGCGACACTCTTGACCTTGACGCCCAGTGCTTTTTTGCCATTATCTCGGTCTGTAGACGAGTCAACAGGCTGCAATGTCGGTGAACCGATCATCTTCCCCTGCGAACGACGATACAAGAAATTCCAAATCAACGGAGAGTCTACCATCTGTGTCAGAACAAGACGTAATTGATCAGCGACTGAAATATCTCAAAGAAGAGGTCCTTCCTTTTTATCCCTTTCTTCTCACCGTTCCAACCGATGTGCCTTTTCGCCTTGGGGGTCGGTTTGTCAACAATTGGGCAGTGGGGAAGGACGGTCCCTTTACTGCGGAGGAGCAGCAACTTCAATACATGACGTTTTTAACACATCACGAGGGGGACTCTTTACTCGTGGCTGTAGGAGATTGGTCTGATGGAGCAGGGAATATCATGACCGATGAGCGTTCAGGGCCCCAGAGTGCCGGAAGCACACCGTCCAATGGATCATTCAAGAAGAAGATTAGCCTGAATGATTACAAGAATAAGAGAAAAGGCGGTGCTTCACCTTCTCCCACTAGCCAAGACACATCCACGCTCCATGTGCCTAGTGAGAAGCCACGACATTCCAAAGCGAGCCCTACAGAGAATCCTACGCCAAGACCTATGAATAATGCCTCTTCGTCCTCCAAAAACAGTATTGGACCTACACCAGAGAGTTCAGCGCGCAAACGTGCGCCTGAAAATGAACACGACCTTTCAAGGTTCCAGGAAGGGAAGTCTACTTTAACTATGTCTTCCCCAAAGAGGGCCCGGGTATCCCCCGAGGGAATAGGAATGAGAGACACTGTACGCTCCAAAGCAAATGGTCTGCCTACTCTTCTGTCTCCAACCCTACCACCGACTTCTAGCAGCCCCAGATTACCTCGACTTCTGTCACCCACTCTTCCACCAGATATTGAAAAAGAGCTTTCAACGATCTATGGTGACTCTCCAAGGATAAAAGGCTCAATCTCAATCGTGGCGAAGAATGATATCTCAAAGGAAAAATCCACCGATCGCGACAGGCTGCATCTAGATTCCGCACGTGGCTCCAGTCCTCAGAGCTTGCTTAATAAACCCTTGGTCACTGCAACTGATAGGAACGTTTCATCTGTCCTCGGGTCTATAGGTTCTGAACCTGGTGAAATTATAAAAACTAACATACCACCTCCGGTATCTGACAAGCAGTCACAGCATGTGTCATCTAGCGTGACACTGAAAAATCACATGCCAACCTCCAACCATAGGAAACCTCAGCGTGCTGATTCGGTTAAAACAGAACTGGTTGTCAAATTAAGATATGGAAGGTCGAATAGGAAGCGCGTCGAGGCTCTTCTTAAATTCTCTGGCAAGAGGAAAGGGGTCACATCAAGCTCGCCTCTGAAGGAACCGAGCGATTACGGATCTGTGCGAGACAAGAGGGAGGACCAGGTTTATTCAGAGAAAAGGGCGAAGCAAGTGTCAAGTGACGGCTCAAAAACTTTGCCAAGGGAACGCTTAAATGAGTTGAAAGTCACGGGCTTAGAAAAACCCCAAACTCCAGTATCTTCGACTGCAAGCCTTGCACCGAGTCAGCAGGACAAGGCAAAACTGGCATCTGTCACCCCCACAAAAGATCTCAAGGGGTCTTGTCCACGCCAGAGTGAATCGACGGATATTGATGGGAAGACACCGATTCAACGAGTGACAAAATACCCTCCAGGAGAATCGGTCACAGATAACAAGCTATCGCCATCACAGCCCACTAGTACTGTCAACAGATCGCGCAATTGTGAACGTCGAGCTTGGAAAGAAGAATTCCAGAAGTATTCAAACCTTGGCCGGGAGTTGAAACACGCGGCAGAGCGATACACAGCCAAAGACGGCGCAACCTCTGCCGATGAAAAGCTTGCAGCTGCTACTGCAATCGAGGCTATTCTATGTTTCGTCATAGCGTTTGTTGCCGATGATCAATATAAAGCTTTAGGCCGTCAGACCGGTGACTCATCGACTTGGCTTTCCATCCTTCCATACTGGCGCGTTGTAAAAAAGAACAGCACCCTCTACCCTCATCTTCATGGCCTTTGCCTGATCCTAGGTGCTGTATCCTATGACGCCATTCATGCTCTTGATCTCGAGCGCCTTGCGATTAGCCCACTCCCAGGGGAGCATACGGCCGTTCCCACACCAGGTAGCGATGGAAATGCAGTTATCTCTGATGAGAGCAAGAGGAACCGCAAAGAATTTCTTGATCTGAAGAATCGGCTTCCGGAATGCCACAAAGAATCTCAAAAATTATGGCTTGAGGGAATGCAAGGACTTTCAGAGGATGTTCTCATGCGTGAATTTCCCATTACTTGGTCAAACCGCTCTAGAAACTATGCCGAGCGAGGGAGACAACGGCTCAAAGTTGGTGATTATTTTGGTGAGTACTTCTTGCCACTCGGCAGGACGAACACGCCCGTGGAAGTTGTGCGGTTCGGCTGGTCAACCTTGAACGAATGGTGCTTGAAAGAAAATGTGGATTGGAAAGGTCGGCTTGGTCTATAACCTATCCTGATTACTGGCTTTAAAAAGGTTAAAAGATCGCGGTCTGGCATGGCCTTGGATGTGCCGAAACTCGTTGGCTGAAAAGTCGCGGGGAACATACTTTAAATGGAGTACACACCTATCCTGATTGATTGTTCTTTTCGGTGACTTTGCTGGCGTCTAAGGTTTTACAAGGATATCAGGCGTATAGTGCTTTACATGTTTGACTTGGGTTATTCTATGATACCACCAGCTGTCCAGTCCAGTCTTTTTTTTTGGGGGGGCGTTTGGTTAATGTATATTTGCGTTGTTATTGGATATATATTATAGAAATGCATCTCGAGAATAGTGTTCTGCGCCTCACAAGTTGCCAGTTAGAGAAACTTATTGAGGCGCATCTCAAGCAATATCTGTATACTGTTATACTGTATAACCAGCATGTCCCTAAGAATAGCATCCTAGGCTATCTAACTATAGGAATGCTCTGGTCCTGTGGTCAACATTCTCGCATGCAACAAACTAGCTTTAATGTAGAATTCATGGCAAATGTCGCTGCATCAAAGATGAAAACTAAACCAAAAGGTATAGTGAGTCAGAAGAGCAAAAAGACTCTTAGGAATTCCCGATCGGCAAAACCAAAGAAAGCAGAGAGAAAGGGATCACGGTGCTGGGGTTAAGATATGGAATAATAGTCCAAACCACTTGGTCTCACTATCGTAAATCGGCTATGGAGACGAAACACCACATGAGGCAGACATTTTGCTTTTCGCAAAGAGCTTCCAATAGCCCAACTTCAGAGCAAATGGTCCCGAGCCATCAAAAACAAGGGGGGGAAATCCTGCAAAGGGACACTATCTAGATTATGTTGCTCTGTCGGGGATGAACATGGATGGCGCGGAAGTTTAGTTTGATTTCCACGCAGACGAAAAAAAGGCTAAACTTCATCTTGGTCGTCTCGGGAGCCTGTGTATCTGAACTCGCCACCTGAATCGTCACTAAAGAGCCATCCAGCTTCCCGACAGTACTTTGCTTCTTTGCCATAGGTACCAACCTCACTGCTCCAACAGACGACGGAGGCATCCACAATATCCGCAACTACGCCTTCCATTGCCCCAAGTACGCTCCAGCCAATTGCTCCGGCCATCAACCCAACCACATAGGCATACACACTTCCCCGAATTGGACCTCCGGCACCAGGGGTAACCAGATTTCGAGCTGTGGTAACCCAGCCACCAAAGCCAAGCGCCAAGGACATCATGAAACGAACAGCGTGTAAAATAAGCTTTGACAACCGATATGAAGCAAGGGGAGCAGAACTTTGATGGGACTGGGGAAAAGAGCGTGGGTGTAGCAAGGATGTAGCCGTCCAAGGTGATAGCCTGACCATTTGAGTAAGACCTCGAGCTGAAAAAGCAAGTGGTTGGGAGTGAATTGCAGCATAGGTGAGAGTAAGAGGGTTTGTCAGGGTAGTGACTGGAGTAGGAACACATGAATATGCAAACAATCCTAGTATAGAGGTGATACGGCTTGGAAGCAAAAGAAGAGGGAGCCGGGCCAGGAGTGCTAGAAATCTGGACAAGCAAATCGTGCCAAACAATGTTGTGAGGGAATGCACAGCGGCGGCCTGTACTACCTGCCTGGATGTAGGGGCGGGAGTTGCAAGGCGATGAAAATACCATTGACTGACCGTTGCAGCTGTAACCGCACGCTGAATTCCAGTGATAACTCCCAGTGACCATAGATAAACCATGATGAAGTATACACCCAACCACCAGGTGCTGAAATCAATGACGAAGGAGCTTGACCCAGAAAGACGGCCTGCTAAAAATACTCGAGTGAACATGAGCATCCATGCCCAGGTCCATGAGACAATGCATATGAGGATCGCGAGCGCGAGAACAAGCAATTCAGGGTTTGCAGCAAGAATCCGACATGCAAATTCGAGAATACTAACTGCCTTTCCAATAGCATGGCGACCACGGATGACATTGTATATCCACAGGCTAGCCATAATAAATGGGACAGCAGATCCACACCGCATAATTTTGTCCTGTATGCTTGCCCCGTGCCACGCACCTTTGAAACTGGAAATGAATGGATACAGGGAGAACGAATATAAGAGTACGGGAACTGTGAAGACCATGACGTAAACCAAGGAGCGCACGTAAGACCGCAAGAGCGCAAGCCAGAGCAGTGAAACGAAAGCCGAGAGAAGAGTGTAGGCACTGAGGAGGTAAAATGACTTGTGCACAGTCATGTATATCGTATCACCCCATTTTGATTTGTCGCCCGAAGGAGCAGATGTGTGCAAATAAACAAGGATTGCTGTAGCGAGCAGGCAGGCTAAAGATATCAAGAATAACTGGCCCCAGAAAGCATCATGAGCGGGCGATTCCATTAAAATTGGTTCGACCGATCTTGGGTATGAACCTGCTGAGCTCGGTGGCCGGGTTTTGCCTGCCTGTTCGACGGATTCAACAGGTGCTAAAAAAGAATCTATTCCGATTTGACCCTTTCGAGTTTGCGGCTGTTCTCGAAAAAGCTGGACAGAAGGTGGTCTCTCGTCTTTTATTCCAGAAGAACCAGCCTTCCTGGTATCTTCAACATCTGTCCTCAAGGTATCATCGAGACCGATATCAACCAAATTTTCTTGTACCCTGCTACAGCTTTGGCTGGTACGGGATTCATGCTCATGTTTAAGTGTCTCCGGCACTGGCTCAACATGAATATTACGCAGTCCACGGCTACCTTTTCCGCCATACCAGGAGCTTCTGATGCCTTTTCCCTTGCTGAACCTATCATCTGGAGGAACTTGTTGGTCATCTGTACCAACGGAGTTTTCGTCATCTTCGTCTTCGTCGATCTCTGAAGAATCCTTTAAATGGCTGCTGCCAAAATGCCGCCTCGACCTTTGCAAGGCATAAAAGTCCGCAATCTCGCGCTCATGCTCTGCTTCATCATCTTCATGAAACTCATCTGTGGCGCTGTAAAATAGAGGGGCAGGCTGGACAGAAGCTCGCGAGGCAAAGGGGAAATTATATGTCTGTGATGCAGCTGGTTGATAGGGGTCTGCTGTTTGTTGCAAGAAGACGCGCGAAGGAAGTCGAGAGTTTCCCTGTTGCCTCATCAGACGACCACGTCCATTATTCTGACGGGTTTCATCATGGCGATACAATATTCGTGACTGAGACTGGGCAAGAAACCGAGAGGCATCTTTATGGCGGTTAGTAATAGGTAAAAACAGTGACAAGCTTAAATTGCAGGCAAATAAGCATAGGGCCTGGTCGATTGTAGCTGAAAATACATACACTCCGAGAACATGGTCTTTGATATTAACGCAATCCCGATATTGAGTATACAAGTCAGTACTCTGTGTTTTTTGTGCAGTCTTCTCTCTGGAGAAGCGGATGAAGCGAATGATGTGATGGCTTGAGTAAGGTGTTCAGCTAAAGTAACTCAGTGCGACAGGATAGAAATTAAGAATGATGTTATTGACTAGAGAGATTCTAGGGTGAAAGAATACTGGATTTGGTATGAAGATCAAGGGATATCATCTGAGGAATGGTAAAAAGCCCATGTAATATATGGACATGCGGTCAGTAGACGGACCTCTGTGATCGAGTTAGGTCGGTACGTGATGAACTAACCCTACGTACATGTGGGAGGTAAGGTGCAAGGTGCAATCGTCATCAGGTAAGGTCATGGTGATAGATGATGACTCAGCAATTTGCTGCGGTCAGTGTAAGATTCGCGTGGCTAAAGGTACTCTATTTCTTGAATCCATCAACCTGATCTCATACATGATCGACTTTGGACAAGAAAATATCTGCTAATAAAAATCCCGGCTTCATTCAGCAAGCGGTTATCTGACAGCTTTCTGCGGAACGAATCTAGAGTATGAGTTTGGCAGCCGTCTGAACTGTCGGACATCAACCAGCTAGTAAACAAACTCGCTTGTTTGCAAACTAGAAGTTTTTCCATCCATGTCGCAGCCATGGGATTATATTGCTAAGCTTGTTTGTATCGGTGACTCTGGAACTGGCAAATCTAGCGTCGGTGCACCGGCTTTCTGCGTACCAGGTTGATTTGCTAATTCTTGAGCTATATAGTTGACTATTCGACTATGTGAAGGTCGCTTTTCTTACGCTCATGATGTTACTATCGGGGTGGAGTTCGGGTCGCGGATTGTTCCAGTTGGACCTCCTGCCTCAAAGAGTTTGGGAATAGAACTCGACAACTATACACCCAATCGTCCTACGTCTACTCTGGCTTTCTCGTATTCTCCAACTTCATACGGTTCAGAAGAAACAATTGTCTCTGGACTCCCCAGCCCTCCGCGGAAGCAACAAGAATCCACATCCCAGAAGAGAATGAAATTGTCTCTTTGGGATACAGCCGGGCAAGAAACGTACAAATCCATCACTCGATCATACTTTCGCGGTGCCTCTGGTGCTCTTCTTGTCTTCGACATCACGCGGCCTTCTACATTTACCTCGTGCACACAGTGGCTTCAAGACCTGCGGCAAATAGCAGAGGATGGTATTGTCGTCATCTTGGTCGGCAACAAGAGTGACTTGGCAAGGGACATTTCTGGCCCGAACCAGAGATGCGTCACGAGGCAAGAAGCAGAAGAATGGTGTCGGATGAACAATGTTGTGCATTATGTTGAAACAAGTGCGAAGTCTGGTGACGGCGTTGAACGTGCATTTCTTGAGGTTGCAGAGAGAATATATCGTAATATCGAAGCAGGTAATTATGACCTGAGCGATCGCCGAAGTGGCGTAAAAGTATTTGGTGCCACAGGGGGAGCAAGCACTGGAGTTCCGCAAACAATTACCTTAGGTTTAAATGATGCGATGCGCAGAGGAGGCAATGGCTGGACTGGGGGTTGTTGCTAACTCAATGGCGAGAAATGATAGATAGCCAGTCATTTATTTCGCGTCTCAAATGGTAGCATGACTGGATTTTAGGCATTGATGATCTTAAGGGAGTTCATTGATCGTGCTGGGGAACTTATTTTCTAGTCACAAATAGTGTTTGCAATGTCATGTATATATATCTACGGGATAGAAATCCATTTTCTTGTATCTTTTTGAGTTACTATCCCAGCTTGAACATGCGTGTACTTATCCAATGATAGATTCCCTATCCGATTCTCATTCATGGGGTTTGATTGCATGGGATCTCCTGAAAGAAAGGGTTCGGGGAGAGCCAAAAATAATAATAATAATAATGAATATAAATAAAATAAACATTTTGCGACTCAGAGAGTTATTACTTGGTCCTCTTGAATAATTTAGCAAAAAACTATCTCTATCAGTGTGTTTTGCGTATCATTCTGCTGCATCGGCTTATATAAAAACGGAAATAGGGTTGGCAGGATTTGAGATTTGGTTTCTCTAGCTTTGCGGCAATCGCAACCTACTCAGATACTGAACATGCAAAGACGCTTTCCCAAGTTGGTTTGTTTTGAGGGAGAACACAGAAAGTGATGCTGTAAAATTTTATTGGCAAACCACGCCGTTCGCGTATGTATAGCAGTCACACTGATTTAATAGGACTGACAGGGCAGCCCAGAAACCAAGACAGACCGGCAACTGGGAACACCTGAGAACATTTGTAATCGGGTAAAAGAAAGGGGGAAGGAGAACAACAGGGAGCTGAGAAAGTGAGAGGGACAAAAGGGCCTTCATTAGTTGGCAATTCTCCAGCCACTCAGCCAATTTAAATGAGACCACTGCTGGCTAGGACCTTCAATACCAAACACAATTGCTCGGAAATAAACGAACATTGCAGTGATGATCATGTACAGGGATGTATATATCACCCATTTAAGTTTGACGCTCACTCTTTGGGTAAGCCAGTCAACGCAGAAACCAAAAGTGAGTATGGCGTAGTAAAGAGCCGGATAGTAATGATGCACATATGTCACTCTTGCCATAGCAATGAATGGGACATAATGTAAAATCCATCCTATGACAGGGTATAAGCCGGAATAGTGAATATGGTCAATTTCCATTTGGCTCAGCTCCTTGTAGCCTCGCTGCCATCGTACCAAATACCAGGATACCAGGAGCCCAAAGACACCTAAACTTGCAGTACTTCCCCAGTAAACAAAAGGGTTCCCAAGGAGGTAATATTTCACGGTGTTGTCATCCCAGGAACACATGCGCAAGCCGACATTGAGTACCGGCCATTGCCAGAACTTCGAGGCAAGGTCATCCTGTTTATCTGGGTCGGGAACAAGAGCATTATTTGATGTCATCATGGCAACATTCAAATGGATAAAGTCTTTCAAAAAAGGTGACTTGTATGATCCGGGATCACCAGGCGGAACTAGGTAATTGCTATCAATCCACTAATCCATCACAGAAATTAAGGGCTGGCCGGAAACTTACGTCGATCATTGGTGTGGGACTCAATATTCCAGTGTGTGTAAACGTCGCCTGGCCTATTCTCCTTCACGCAAGTTGTTTCAATCTGCTTGAAACCCCACTGAGGGAGGTTGACATTTCCGGCCCTGAGATAGCAACCCAAAACAGGATGCCGGAGCCGGAAGGCCGTTGTCAGAGTCCTAATTCTTGTCCGGTCCTTGGACGCAACATCGTTGATCACTTCGACCACCCAATGGTCTTTGTCATCCCCAATAGTGATATTGCCATAGGAAGACACTTCGTATTGAGATTTGGTAACTGGGGCAGGAATAGCATGGGAATGCAGGTTCCGTCCTGTTTGCCCATGGATGAAACGAATTGTATCACCATCCCCCACGAATCTCAAAGGAGTATCAGGATCAAACTCGGCTTCATGGCGATTAGGGTAGATAAACCAGTCGTTGTTTGCATCTTTATGGTGGTAACAAGTAACTTGCTGCTGATTAGATCCTTCAGGAAATGTTTGGATATGCGAATGAAGCAGTCCGCCGCCGTATCCCATGTTCTTTAAAGTTACTCTTGACCCAAGTGCTATTTCAAGAGGACTGTCTTTACCGACCTCTGTACCCTTCAAGTTTGCCTGGAAAAGGGAGCTCATCTGTGCGTCCCCGGGGCCACTGTTTTCCAAGATAGAAAAATGAAGATAGAAGGAAAATATGTAAACTAGCGCTGGAATCGCAATGAGACCAACCACGCGAGCTAGAAAATGCTTAGCAAGTGTAGTCTGGAAGAGAGTTAGCTATTGGGCAAAAAAAAATCAAAATCAAAATAAAAAGTGTTAAGTCTCGTTGGTGACTTACCTCTGAAACCTTTAGATCACCAAACTTATTCCATAAGTCCTCAATTGTATAAAGACCTACAACTGCAGTGCAGAAGAGGCCAACCCACTTCACACTACAGACACACCCAATGCTTACCCCAGTCAATGAAAGCCAAACAAACCATTCAGCTGAAAAGCTGACATGCTGTAACTGATGAAACTTAGCCCAGCACATCACAGTGGTGAATGTAAAACAAAGTAGCATAGAATCAAGTAATATGAATCGCGAAATTGTTGCATATGAGTTTTCAAACAACACCATCAGGCTAATAAGCCAAACAGTGGCCGTGCGGAAATTAAGTTCTCGCGCGGTATAGTATGCAAGAGGTACGCACACAATGCCAAAAGCAGCATTGAATACACGCATGAAAGTATAATTGACGTGGTCTGGATATGTTTCACCGGACTTGAATTCAAAAGATCCATTATACCCAGCAAGGTAGCCTGATAAGCCAACCAACATCTTTCCCAGTGGTGGGTGAACGTCAAAGTAGAATTCGCGCTTGAGGTAATGAGAACCAAACTTGCCAAAACTGAGCTAGGCTGTGAGAAAATGCATAGGAAATCAGCTTAGGTTTATATCTTACTGGGCTTCATCCCATGTCACAATATTTGAGCGGCCGATGCGATACAATCGGGTGAAGATGGAGAAGGCTGTCAGAATAATTGGCGCAATGATAGGTTCCCAAGCGGCAAGTGTAGATAGGAATGGATTGAACTGAACCCCCAATTTCATTAGCCTGTTCGCGGCGTGTATGTATGTCAGGTGAAAGAAAATTGCCATACCTCAGGCTTTGATTTCTTCTCATCGTCATGCTGTGTATAGGGCGTGAGCACCCGGCTGGCACTCTCTGAACTTGGAACATTTCTACGCCGCACATCTGAGCGGAGATTGACGCCAGTAGTAGATGCAGTATCAGTTTCTGCCATCGTGAAATGTATAACCTGAAAACTCGACAATACTAAGCGGTTTGCAACAGGAACAGATTAAAACCGCAAGTTGAGCTATGGGTAAGCGGGATAATCGGAGCTTCAATGATAAAATGCGAGCATATCTGGTAGTAAAATAAGGGTAAAAAAGCCCCTTGGGCACTTTGAAAGCTTGGGGCTTGGACAATTGTTCAAGTTGCGGATAAGATGCCGCGGTTGCAAGGCTGGTTGAGATGGCTGTACGAAAGTAGATTGGTCACTTGGGATAGATTGAAAAGCGTAAAGGAGTTGTATTATGGCAATAAATTGATGATAGAAAAAAGAAGGGTGAAAGGGGGGAAATACAAAAAGAAAGATAAAGAAAAAGAAGGTCGGAGAGAAAACACGCAGGAGTGAATGCAAAATGAACGCAGTGCAAAGAATAGAGATGGGAATAAGAAGAGTTGGCCTGGAGATAACACGGAGGTACTAACTAGGCGCGGATGTGGGTAACGTAGGAAAACCGCCCGCTTGGGGCCAGTTCGAGGATCCAACCCCAAATCCTGATTTTTCTTGTACCATTCTACAAAATGCATCCATGGGGCATCGAGAATACGGACCATTTACCATGGTATCTTTCGAGGGAATTGTGAGGATGCTATGGGTATAAAAAAAATCCTCTCCAGCAGAGTATTCATCGATGCAATCCAGGTACCTACCTAGTATCCCTTACCGGGCAAAAAATAGCGACCCCCTCTCCAATACCCGTTCTGCGGCCACAACAACGCGGTCAATTTTCAACGCGCATTCTAACTGCGACCACCCACAGTTTATTAAAAACCTAGAAAAATGACTGGTTAGTACAGTAAACCACCGATATAATCAACGCCGATATAAGCAATATTCCGATATAAGCAACAACGCGACGTGTCATCTTTGATCCCACATATTAAATTACTTAGAATGCTGATATTAGATAGTTACTACTATTCTCTCTTTCTCTTATATAAAATTACTTATATCTATCTCCTAAATAGGTTATTTTAATATCTTAAGTCCCTCCCTATCTATTATGATAAAGTAAAAGTAGATATATTAGTTAATCTCTACTAAGTAGAAAGCTGCCCTCTATACCTACTACTATTTAAAGCCTTTTCTCTCTTATTAAGGGCTTTAAAATTAGTTTAAAGAGATATATAATTAATAGATTACCCCCTTCTCTATCTCTTAAATCCTTTCCCCTTAGTTTACCTTTCTTAATACCCTAGATAACTCCTACTAGGTCAGTAAGAAGTAATAATATATGAAGAACTAGCTAGAGCTAGAAGGGGCACTTTTTAAATAGATATAATAGATAGAGGGGTAGATTACTATCTTATAGGAGGTTATATAGGAAAAAGTAAAATAATATTAGCTATCTCTTTACCTAGGGAAAGAGATACCTATACTTTCTTCTAGCTAGCTTTAAGGCTTTTAATCTTACTAGAATATAAAGTATTACTAATAGTTTAATAAAGCTAGTAGTTTTAATAATAATTTAAAGGGTAAGATAGCTTTAATTTATTAATTTATAGAATTATATATACCTTAAGATATCTTTAATTATAATAAAACTAGTCTATATTAGAGGATAATTCCTAACTATAGTTTAACTATATATATATAATACCTAGAAGGAAGAGGAATAAGGCTAGAATAATAGCTTATTTCTATATTAATTTAGATACCTCTAAGTGCCTCCTAATTTAGTTTATTAGACCTATAAAAAGACCTTATACCTTTATAGTAGCTAAGATTAATATAAAGAATCTAGGTTATATCTAATATTATAATAAGAAGGCCTAAATAATAAATATTATCTTTAAAGAGTAGCTTTATTAGTTTAATAGGAGAATAGCTAGTTAAAAGGTTATTCTCTTAATAGATAATTTCTCTGTATATAAAAAGGCTATTAAAGCTATTTATTTAGATTTATAAAATATACTAATTATATAGCTTTCTTCTAATTCTATAAGCTATTATAAACCTCTTAATTAAGGGATTATTTATATATAGAAGGTATATTAGAAGTAATAATAGATTCTTTATATAATAATCTAATTTAATTAGGGATTTAATCTTATATCTATAATAATAGTTTTATAAGTAATTTAATAAGTAATTCCTACTTAATATCTAGATATAACTTTAGATATTATAAGTAATTACCTTAAGAAGGCACTTGTCACACCCTGGGATCTCACAATGGTACCTAACCTGTAACCTGTGAGTCAAGCCTGGAAATACTAACCTATGACCCTAATCTAAGGATGTTAATAGTAATAGGGTGCTCCTTCTAAGTTATAGTACTTAAGAATATAGTATAGTAGCTAAGGAAAGAAGTAAGGCTAAGAAGTATATATACTTCTTAATTAAGCTAGAGATATATAAATAAGTAGGTAGAATAATTAGGGTAAGTAATAGTAGAATAGTAACTATAGAATAATAACTTATATTAATTATAAAGAACTATCTAAGTATATAAAATAAGTATCCTTATATATCTTACTTTAATATTTATAGTCCTCTGGATAGTCCTTTATATAGTATACTAAATAGTATATTTATTAAGATATAGTACCTATATACTATATTATATAAGTATAGTAGTATCTTACTAGATAGTAGCTATAAAGAGAGTTATAATAGTAAATTATAATTCTTTATAATAAGAATATCCTTTTCTCCTTAACTACCTTATTCTACCTAATATAGTTATTAATAAAGGTGCTGTAATATAATCCCCCTCTCCTAGGATTATTATCCCCTAATAATTATAAATTTATTATATCCCCTTATTTAAGTGAGTTTCCTATTAACTTCTTTTCTTATTTTTCTAATAACTTATTATACTAGAGAAGTATAATTATTATTATAAATATACTTTATAGGTAGATAGAATTCTAAAGAACAGTTTCCCTTCTAACCTTCCTTATAGTGTGTCACACAAGTCGAGTTTGAGTAGAGATTTAGGACTTGACTCATGAGTCAAGTTAGAAGGTAGGACTTAAACTCATGAGTAGAGCTAGGGTTTAGGACTTAAACTTATACTAAGAAGAGTAAGAGTAAAGTAAGAGTCTATATTTTTATTATATTTTACCATATTTTTAAGCCTCCCCTATATAAAATAGGTATATTTTTAGTATTATAAGTAGAGTTTTAAAATATTTAAAGCTTAAACTTATAGTATAAGTCCTAAATCTTAACTTGAACTTGCCTCATTACTCAAACTCTACTCATTACTCATGAGTAAACTTGACTTGTGTGACACACTACTTCCTTATATCTATTATTCTTCCTATGGGGTTCCTTATATTATAGATTTAAAAAGTAAGAACTATGCTTTATATACTTACTATAGTTAAAAGTATAAATATTAGTTTTATAATAAGTAAGAGTGGTATATACTTTAATAAGAGTAGGAGTATTGTGAGAGTGTGCGATATTATGAGTACGCAGACTTGTTATCAATACAGATAGCGTGGTAAACGCAGCAGTCAATTGGTTGTAGAACTAATTACTGGTTTGGAAAACCTTCTAAACCCATGATCAGAGATATATACCATGTGGTCATGTATATATATCTATATTATAGTCTTAGCAGTGGTTCCTATATACAGTATATCATATAGGCCCTAATACTGCCCCCCCCCCCCCTCTTTAAAAGGCCATGACCTTATGGCTGTTAGTCAGCCTTATTATATTTCTAGGGGTTTAATCCTTTCTTATATTAACTAATAAGAGCTTCTATTTCCTACTTTTTAACTTCCTATACTTCCTGAAGCTAAAACTATACTATAATATTACTTTCTAGCACTCTATTTCCTTATATAGCAGTTTACTCAGTTATCTTAGTATACTATAGTATAGTATTATTATTTTTAGTATTCTTATATAGAGACTTATATTTAGTATATTACTAGGTGACTTATATATAGTATATTATTATATTAGTTAAGTAGGCCCTTATAGTATAGACCTTCTTTCTCTCTATTAATAATCTTATATACTAATATTATTATCTTTCTAGGTATATATACCTTTATTCCTAGCTTAGAATTACTTTTACTTACTAGATTTATCTTTATTTTACTCCTTATAATATTTTTAGGTATTCTATAGTATTATAAGGTGGTATTTTTAGTCTAGCTATTATAGATAATAGTATTAGTATTATTTAATATTAACCTAATAATATACTCTTAAATTATCTTATTTCTTACTAAAAATTAGTATTTAGCTTTATTTTAATTTCTTTTATCTACTCTATTTTTTATAGCTTCTTCCTATAAGTTTTAATTATATTATAGTAGTATTTTATTTTATTATTATTACTCCTTTATCTAGTTTAAAATATAATATAATACTATTTTAACTATAATATACCTTTATTAGTCCTTTTTAGTACTTATAATTATATAATCTAGCTTTATTTACTATATTTATTTTATTTTCTAATTAAAAATATATTATTTATAGATTTTTTAGGGGGTTATTACTATACTTTAATAGTTAGTATAAAGCCCTAATACTCTACTTATACTATAATAGATCTACCTATATAATTTTATTAATAACTATTATAATAGTATATCTACTAATACTACCCTCTCCTTATACCCTAGCTGCTCTATAGTAGTAAAATACTATTATACTTAGTTAAAGAACTATAGCTAGTATATAGCTAAATATACTTACTATACCCCCTTATCCTTACTATTATTTTAGGGCTTTTTACCTACCCTACTATCTACCTCTATCCCTATACCTCCCCCTATACCACTATCTAGGCTATAGTTCTTACTGGCCTAGCTATAATATATACACTACCTAGGCTTAGCTAATAATACTAATATAGCCTGCTCTATACCTCTTTACTAGATATAGAGTAGGCTATACTAGCCCTTAAAGTATAGCTATTACTACTACTATATTAGTAGGCACTATAAGTGCTAGTTAATAAGTATTTAATAATACTATTTAGGGTTAGGGCTAATTATAGTAGATCTACTAGGACCTCTTAGGGGTTACTTATATAGTAGTACTTACTACTACTAAAGCTAAGGAGGGCTAGGTATTATATATAGTATACCCTCCTTTAATAGAAGTAGTAGTAGTATTCTATAGTATATACCATCACCTTTAGGCCTATTACTATACTGCTACTACTACCCTTAGCTAGTATGTAATAATATATATACCTTTATAGATATATAGTAACTAATATTTCCTAGCCTTAGTATTTAGGTAGTAGTTTTCTTTAGGGCCTTTAAGTATTTTTTTTTAATTAAATAGTTTTACTATACCCTTTAGGGCTAAATAAAGATACCTTATCTATATACTATTTCCTTTAAGTCTTCTTTACTATAGAATTATACTTTCTATAGACTACTTTAAAGTCCTATAGCACTTTTATAGCTATCTTAATATATATATATAGTTCTTATATATTATATTTATCCTCCTAGCTAATCTATTATATTAGGTATTAAACTTTACCTTAATAGTTATACCTATTTAGAATTATAGTGACTTTTTATTCCTCTTCTTTATTAACTTTAATAGGTCCTAGATATAGGGCTGTACTACTATTACTATAGTATAACTCTAGTAGGGAGATATAAAATATATTATAGATATCTTAAAGACTTAGTAGTAGCTATAGCTTATATAACTATTTTCCCTATATACTAATAATTTTAAAGGGACTAAGGTAATAGCTACTTAGCTTCTAGTTTAGGTATATACTAGTAATATTCTTTATATATAATATAATATAATTATTAACTATAAAGGTCTTCTAGCTGTATTTTTTATTATAGTAGTATTTTATTATATCTTTAGCTTTTTATAGTAGATTTACTAGTATTTACCTCTTTTCCTAGATAGTGTTACGGCACCTTTATCAGTGACTGTATCAGGCAGAATCAGGCGGTCAAGGGGAATGGATATTCTTATGGCAGAGAATTATGATTTGCTATTATCATGCTCTTTACAGCCACTATCTGGTAGACACTGCCACACTCACATGATATGGTATATAGGTACTATATCTTAGTGAACATATCATTTAGTATACTATTATAGATAGTATACACCTTAGTATATAGAATAGTATACTACTGGCATACTATGTAGAGAACTATCTAAAGGACCATAGAGATTAGAAAGGGATATATAAGGACACTTATTTTATATACTTAGATAGTTCTTTATGATTAATATAAGTTATTATTTTATAGTTATCTTTCTATTACTACTCTGATTATTCTACCTACTTATTTATATATCTTTAAGCTTAATTAAGAAGTATATATACTTCTTAGCCTTACTTCTCTCTTTAGTTACCTTATTATATTCTTAAGTACTATAGCTTATTAGGAGCACCCCAGTTACTATTAATATCCTTAGATTAGGGTTATAGGTTAGTATTCCCCAGGCTTGACTCACAGATTACAGGATAGGTACCACGGCGAGATCCCAGGGTGTGACAGTAAGTTTCTCTTCTTAAGCTTTAACTTCTATAATAAGCTGTTCCAGTGCCTCTTTATATTAGAGCTCTTAGATATAGTATTAAACTATAGCTTCTTATTCTACTAGGGTTAGCCTTATAGGTTTAGCTATAGATATATTCTATAAATTACTAATAGGTATATCTTTATCTATAATAGTGCTTTCTATCCTACCTCTTATAAATTAGTTAGAGGAAGGAGAGGACTCTCTAATAGGGGCTAAACTTATAGGTAGGAGGTTTTCTTATTAGTCCTACTAACCTATAGGTTCTTCTTTAAGAGGTTAAGGAGTATTATTTTAACCCCTTCTTATAGAAGGTGTTATTATATTAAGCTATATTTTCTAGGCTATCTTAAAAGGGTAGAGTAATTAGAACTATAAGAGTATATAATATTATAAGTATACAGACTTATTATTAATATAGATAGCATAGTAAATACAGTGGTTAATTAGTTATAGAACTAATCACTGGTTTAGAAAACCTTCCAAACCCATGATCAGAGATGCGCACTATGTGGTCACGTGTGCATATCCATGTTATGGTCTTGGCAGCGGTTCCTACGTACAGTATATCATATAGGTGTTACGGCACCTTTATCAGTGACTGTATCAGGCAGAATCAGGCGGTTAAGGGCAAAGGATATTCTTATAGTAGAGAATTATGAATTACTATTATCATACTCTTTATAGCTACTATCTAGTAAATACTACTACACTCACATAATATAGTATACAGGTACTATATCTTGGTAAACATACCATTTAGTATACTAATATAGGTGGTATATATCTTGGTATATAGAATGGCATACTATACAGAGGACTATCTAGAGGACTATAGATATAATAGAAGGATATATAGGGATACTCATTTTATATACTTAAATAGTTCTTTATAATTAATATAAGTTATTATTCTATAGTTACTATTCTACTATTACTCTAATTATTCTACCTACTTATTTATATATCTCTAGCTTAATTAAGAAGTATATATACTTCTTAGCCTTACTTCTCCCTTTAACTACCTTACTACTTTCTTAAGTATCATAGCTTATTAGGAGCACCCTAGTTACTGTTAATATCCTTAGATTAGGGTTATAAGGTTAGTATTACCCAGGCTTGACTCACAGGTTACAGGTTAGGTACCATTGTGAGATCCCAGGGTGTGACAACAGGCCCTAACAAGTATATTAATTAGGAAATTTAGGAGGCTAAAGAGGCTTCTATAAAAATATTTATAAAATTAATATACCTTTAAAAATATTAAAAATTCTTAAGAGAGTATAGTAGTTAGATATTAAAATATAACTCTAACCTTCTTAAATTACTAGATAAGGAGGATCCCCTAAGTACTAAGGATCTTTAAGAGCTAGACTATCTTACTAATAAGTAAGAGGCTACTTAACTTACTACTATATTAGATAATCCTAGTCTAACTTAAATAATAAATTCCCCTTCCTTCTAGGCTGACTTTAATCTATCTACTAGTAAAATTCTTTTACTAACTAAGGGTAACCTATTAAGTTTAAGATAGGTTCCTATATATTTTTTAAGGTATTATATCCTTTCTATTTTACTAGGTAAAGTAGTTTACTACTAACTTTTTAATATCTTAAGATTTTTTTAACTTTATATTCCTATTTATTATTATTATTAATTTCTATATTTTAAATAAGTTTAGTATTAGTTAGTACTAGTTCTAATAATAAAATATAAAAGACTAGGTATATATATTTTATTAATTCTAATAGTTATAAATAGTAGTTAACTAGTCCTATTTTTTCTTTAATTATAAATAGTCCTAATTTTTAATAGTTAAGTTTTATACTTAGTCTTTTTATTTTAATATTTCTATAGAGTAGGAATACTTTCCCCCCTTTTTTAAGATCTAGTCCTTTATTATATTTTTTATCATAGTAACTGACTATCTATAGATTTATAAATTCTAAGTCTATTAAGAGTTATTAGTAGTATTATTCTATTATTATTACTAATTATTCTACTTCTTCTAAGTTTAATTCTTATTAGATTAGTTTTCTAATAATGTTTAGATATCTATAGTAATTTATATAAAATAGTATCTATTTTATAATAGAGTGCATGAAGTTATTAAATATAAATTATACTAAGGGTAATAATTCACTCTAGTTATTTTATTAATAGTTAATATAGTATTATAAATATTATTTAATTATCTAATTAGTTTATTTAGTTTATCTATTTACCTATAGGTAATAAGTAGTAGTTAACTAGTAATAAACTCCTATTATCCTTATAAGGGATATCTAGAATTTTAAGGTAAAGAGTTTATCTTTATCTAAGGTAATATTTTCTAGTAAACTATAGTTTATAATAATTTCCTTTAAAAAGATAAATACTATCTATTTTATATTAAGTATGCCTTTTACTAGTATAAGCTAAATATACTTAGTAAGTTAGTTAATAAAAACTATAATAGTATCTTATCTACTTAAGGGTAGTAACTAAGTAATAAAGTCTACTATAACCTATTCCTATAGTTTTATAGGTGATTTCAGTATTTATATATTTCTATAGGGTTTATATCTTACTAATTTATCTTAAATATATATTTTATACTTTATTATATATTTATATACTTTTACCTAAAGGTATAGTATATAGAAGTTTCTTATAATATATACTACTATTTATTCTACTCCTATATATCTAAATATAGGGGTGTTATAATATATAGTTATGACTTTAGTCTATATACTTTTAGGTATATAGATAAGTCCTTTAAAATATACTAATCTATCATCCCCTTTAATAAATCTAGTATTATCCTTAAGTTTCTTAAGTATTCCTTAGGTTATTTAGTCTTTCCTAGTTTCTATAATAAGTTTCCTTTTAAATTTATCTAATCTAATACTTATAGTAGCTATAATCTAATATTAGTAATTATAATTAAAACTGCTATCTTTATTTTATTTTAGGATTACTAGTTTATAATATTTTCTATTAAGTATATAGTCTAGTTATTAACTAAGTATATCTACTTAGCTATTTTCTATCCCTTTATAGTGTATAATATAGAAGTTATATTCTAAGAGAACTTCTAACTATCTTACCTACCTTTATATTAACTCTTTAGTTATTATATAGAAGGTGAGGTTTTTATAGTCTATTTTAATAAGGATTTAATATTAAGCTCCTTTAAGATAGACTCTCTATATCTTAAAGGTAACTACTATCACTAGTAGCTCCTTATTATAGATATTATAGTTTAGTTTAGCTTAAATTAGTTTTCTTAAGTAGAATATAATTAGCTATAGTTTCCTATCTTCTCCTAGCTATATTATTCTTATGCTAATTATATAGTCTAAGGCATTAGTTTTAATAGTTATCTCCTTTATTAGATTATATTATACTAAAATTAGTATTTATATAACTTATTCTTTTAATTCCTTAAATACCTTCTGTTATTCCTAGGTCCATTTAAAAGTATTAGATTTTTTAAGTAGTTTAAATATAGGTATTATAGTTTTTATATAGTTATTAATAAATTATTAGTAGTAATTAATTAATCTATAATACTACTATAGTTCCTTAAGATTTTTTAGTATTAGCCAGTCCCTAATTACCTATACTTTTATCTAATCTATATATATCCCTTCTAGGGAGATTTAGTGTCCTAAAAAGTCTATTTCTTAGATATAAAATTTATATTTTTTAAGTTTTAATTATAGTTTTATATTCTAAAGTTTTATAAGTACCTTTATAATATACTAAATATACTTATTAAAATTATCTAAGAATATTAGAATGTCATTAAGGTATATAATAATAAAGATATTAAGATATTCCCTTAATACTTTATTAATAAATTATTAAAATAATATAGGTATATTAGTTAGCCTAAATAGCATTACTAAGTATTTATAGTCTCTATATTTTATTTAAAATACCATTTTCTATTCTTCCCCTTTAGTAATTCTGATTTAGTTATAGGTATCTATAATATTAAGTTTTATAAACTATTTTACTCCTCTAATCCTATCCTAGATCTCTAAGATAAGAGGTAGTAGGTATTAATCTTTAATAGTAATATTATTTAGTAGTCTATAATCTATATAAAGTTATAGACTATTATCTTTTTTTAATATAAATAAGATACTGTGTCCTACTAGTAATTATAATATTTAAATAGTACCTTTTACTAACTATTTATTAATATACTCTCTAAGTACTTTAGTCTCTTTATCTAATATATAGTAGATTTTCTTATAGATTAGTTACTTCCCTTTCTCTAGAGGGATTTTATAGTTATAAGGTCTATATTCTAGTAGTTATAATTCTTATAGTTATTTAAATAACTCCTAAAATATAATATATTCTTATAGTAACTATAGTAGTTTCTAGGAGTCTATTACTAGCTCTTTAGTATATCTATATTTCTATAAGCTATTATCCTAATCTAAGGATTACTCTATTAGTATATTAGAGTAATATTCCTTATTCTAGGAGCTATTAATAATATCCTTAATAATAGTTTATTTATAATATTTAGTTACTGTTCCTAGTGCCTATCTAGGTAGTTATACTAGCTATACTTAGTCTAAAGCCTTACTAGCTACTAAAATCTTAGTTACTTTATTACTAGTTATAATATTAATTACCTTATTTAATTACTTAACTCTGCTCTTAAGTTCTCCTTTATAAGTATATTATTAAGATTTAATAGTATTATCCCTTATACTTATTAATCTAGGGCATTTATAATTTACTAGCTATATTATATTAGCTTTCTAATTAATTTCTAGGTTATAATTCCTAAGCTAAGGAATCCCTAATACTATATTATACTATCTTAATAGTATTATATTAAAGTTAAGTTACTCCTTATAACCTATTATAACTAAGGATATAGATCCTAATTTATCTATAAGATAACCTCCTAAGTCTTCTCTATTTAGACCTATAAGTAGCTCTAGTTAAGCCTTCTTAATCTTAAGTATACCTAGCTACTATTTATATCTTAGATCTATATAATTTCCTATTATACCTAAGTTAATTATTATCTTTACTAATTATTTAAGTACTTTAATAATAAGTCTGAGGTAGAAGCTCTATTATATTTTATTTATTAATAGTAATTTTTCTTTCTTAAGCTTATCTAACTCCTTCTAGGCTTTATTTAAGATCTTATTAATTTATTTATATACCCTATCTTAGTTTTACTATCCTACTTTATATTAGGTAAAGTAATATCTTCTTTTAAGTAGTTTTATAATATATTTATTTAATTTAAAATTATCTTATAAGGTTCTTTAAGGTTACTTAAGTAACTTATAAAGTCTCTTCTAGTAGGATACTAAGCCTTTCTATTAAGTACTATACTCTTTATCTAAAGGATTAATAGCTTACTAAACTTAGTTAACTACTTTATTTATAGGAACTAGCTCTTTATAGTTCTATCCTAGTATATTCTATATACTAAAAGATTTATAGTGGATTTATTATTTATACTATGATAATACTAGGGTCTTAGGTTCTAGTCTTATACTATTAAATATATCTTTAATATTAAGATATCTTATATTATCCTAGTTATTACTATCTAATTTATTTATATATATTAGTTTAAGTAGGGCTAGATCCTTACTATCTAGTCTTAACTAATTATATAGTATACAGCTATTATCTAATACTAAGTTATCTAGATAGTATTCTACTTCTATTTACTATTTTAGTTATAGCTCTTCTTCTATTTAATTATCTTATATTATTTTAATCAGTTCTCTTTTCCTTATATTAAGTTCTTAATTAATTTCTTCTTTACTTAATATAGTACACTATTAATAGAGTTTCTAAAGTTATAGGTCTTTATTTATTACTCTAAGTTCCTTTATAGCTTAGAGTTATTTTCCTAGGTACTAATTTCTTTAGTTATATTATTACCTTACTTAGTAATCTTTTATTATATATCTAGGTTTTCTATAAAAGAAATAAAGCTTTTCCTTATATTATTATTCCTATTCTTCTAGCATCATGCCCTTTTATCTTATACTAGTTATATTAAGATCTATTAGTTATAGTCTATAAGGATCTATATATCCTTAGCTTACTAGTTATACCCTTTAGCTATTATTTAATTAATAATTAATTATATACTGATTTCCTCTAAACTAGTAGTTAGTATACTAATTTTTAAATTTATAAAGTTTATTATCTATTTTAACTACTAATTTAATAAATTTAGCTAGGGAGTCTAGTTATTCTTACTAAATAAGTTTTTCTTATACTTTAGGTTTTAGTATTTCTTTAAATTATAATATATATATATCTTTATTCTAATCTAAGTAGGATATAATCTACTAGAATTTAGAAGCTATTTACTATACTAATCCTATCTATTTAAGTTATTATAATTTCTATTCCACTTATTATATAATATTAATATTACTGAAAGTTCCTTTAAGGTGTTCTTTAAACTTAGTATAAGAAGTAAAAATTTCTTTAGTATTATTATCTTAATAATATAATAAGTTCTTTTAGAAGTCTTAGAGGAATAGCTTAAACTAATTAAATATATTACCTAATAAGTAGGTTAATATAAAAACTACCTTATTAGCCTTATATTAGAGTTTCTCTTTATTAATATTAAGATAGATATCTATCTGTATAAGAAATATTTAAAGATATAATCTTTTTCTAGTAAATAGTTTAGGTAGTTATACTTTAATTACCTTAGTAGTAAAGTAGCTCTCTATTATAGTAATAGTCTCCTAAAGCTACTTAATTATCCTTAAGAGCTCCTTATTACTCTAGGTTTCACTAGGATTAGCACTACTTATTAGGGTATTATTAGTTATAGTATTTTAAGTTAATTACTTAAGATAGACTAGTATTAATATTAGATATTATTTATATACTTATATAGATAGGTAATTAATATATTATACCCTAGGATCTTATAATAGTATCTAACCTATAACCTATAAGTTAAGCCTAGGTAATACTAACCTTATAACCTTAATCTAAGGATATTAATAGTAACTGGGGTGCTCCTAATAAGCTATAGTACTTAAGAAAGTAGTAAGGTAGTTAAAGGGAGAAGTAAGGCTAAGAAGTATATATACTTCTTAATTAAGCTAGAGATATATAAATAAGTAGGTAGAATAATTAGAGTAGTAGTAGAATAGTAACTATAGAATAATAACTTATATTAATTATAAAGAACTATCTAAGTATATAAAATAAGTATCCCTATATATCCTTCTATTATATCTATAGTCCTCTAGATAGTCCTCTATATAGTATGCCATTCTATATACTAAGATATATACTACCTATGTTAGTATACTAAATGGTATATTTACTAAGATATAGTACCTGTATACTATATTATATGAGTATGGTGGTGTTCACTAGATGATAGCTGTAAAGAGCATGATAATAGTAATTTGTAATTCTCTGCCATAAGAATATCCTTTGCCCTTGACCGCCTGATTCTGCCTGATGCAGTCACTGATAAAGGTGCCGTAACACTATTTTATATTAAGTATACTTTTTATTAGTATAAGTTAAATATACTTAATAAGTTAGTTAGTAAAAACTATAATAGTATCCTATCTACTTAAGGGTAGTAACTAAGTAATAAAATCTACTATAACCTACTTCTACAGTTTTATAGGTGAATTTAGTGATTATATATTTCTATAAGGTTTATACCTTACTAATTTATCTTAAATATATATTTTATATCTTATTATATATATATATATTGTTAGGGCCTGTATGATACACTGTACGTAGGAACCGCTGCCAAGACCACAACACAGATATGCGCACGTGACCACACGGTGCGCATCTCTGATCGCGGGTTTGGAAGGTTTTCCAAACCAGCGATTAGTTCTACTACCAATTGACCGCTACGTTTACCACGCTATCTGTATCGATAACGAGTCTGCATACTCGTAATATCACACAATCTCACATATATATGCTTTTACCTATAGGTATAGAATAGTGTGTCACATAAGTCAAGTTTACTCATGAGTAATGAGTAGAGTTCAAGTAATGAGGCAAGTTTAAGTTAAGATTCAGGACTTATACTATAAGTTTAAGCTCTAAATATTTTAAAACTCTACTCATAATACTAAAAATACACCTATTTTATATAGGGGAGGCTTAAAAATATAGTAAAATATAATAAAAATATAGACTCTTACTCTACTCTTACTCTTCTTAGTATGAGTTTAAGTCTTAAACCCTAACTCTACTTATGAGTTTAAGTCCTACCTTCTAACTTGACTTGTGAGTCAAGTCCTAAATCTCTACTCAAACTTAACTTGTGTGACACGCTAATCTAGGGTACTAGTGTGTCACACGAGTCGAGTCTACTCGTAAGTAACGAGTAGAGTTCGAGTAATGAGGCGAGTTTGAGTTCAGATTTAGGACTCGTCTTGGCATACGAGTAAAACTCGCGAGTTTCGAGTAATGAGTTTGAGTCCTACCTTCCAACTTGACTCGTGAGTCGAGTCCTAAATCTCTACTTGAACTCGACTCGTGTGACACGCTATAGGGTACTATAGATATCTAGAAGAAATATATAAAGATATTTATATACTTAGATAGTTCTTTATAATTAATATAAGTTATTAATCTATAGCTACTATTTAATTATTTACCCTAATTACTTTATATACTTATTTATATATCTCTTACTTAATTAAAGAAGTATATATACTTCTTTAGCCTTACTTCTCTCTTTAACTACCCTACTATATTCTTAAGTATTCCTAGCTTATAGGAGCACCCTAGTTACTATTAATATCCTTAGATTAGGATCATAGGTTAGTATTTCCCAGGCTTGACTATAGCTTACAGGTTAGGTACCATTGCGAGATCCCAGGGTGTGACAGGGGGATTCTAGCTTAATTTAGTAACTTATTTACTATAAATAGATAATTTTGTAAAGGAAAATGAAGGTACAGCAGTGGAGTAATATATAGACCTTTTTCAGCATTTAAATATTATATATATATATATATATATATATTAAAATATATATTAATTAGTGGCGGAACCCATATAAATATTTCAATATAAGCAACTGAAAGGTCTGCGCCGATCTGTTGCTTATATCAGCGGTTTACTGTAGTAAATACTCTGTACTTTTATGAATAATAAGAATAATAATAAGAATAATAATAAGAATAATAATAAGAATAATAATAAGAATAATAATAATATTTTAAGCTATGTGAATCTGATAGAATTTCATATAAAAAGACTACTAGTCTATTTTATATAGAGTATGTAGGGTCAATACTTAAGAACTGGGCATAGAGCTTAATGCCTAAGGTATAAACTACATATACAATAGATACTGAATACTTTTAAATTACTACACTAAGCTATATATGGAAGACAGGGTGTTTAGAACGAAAGGGGTGTCGGCAGATTGAAGGGGGGTGTCGCTATATAACAGTACCCTAAAAATGGTATTGAATTGCTGGATAATTTACCAATAAGATGCGGCCCACCCAACCTACCTACCTGGTAGGTACTAAAGGTACCTAAGGTAGTCAGTCACCTAACTACCCGTCTACCACCTTATCTAGATTTGACTAGGTAATCTTCGATGAGAGAACTTGACTAGGTATCTATAAAACGAATTTTACAAGCTCTTTAGCACGATCCAGGCAGCCCTCTGGTTTTGGTGGAAAATGTCATGAACTTGGCTAAACGTCGCTAGATACTTTCCGCTGCTCTTTCCCCCTCCTTGTTTTGCCCCTTCTTACGGTTTACTATATTAGTATACGTATATCTGGGTATCGAAGTTCGGCCCTCTAGAGGCCATCTAGGCAAACTCCTTCTTGGTGCATGAACAAGCGGAAGCTGCAGATATAACAGAAAATGTAAATGTGTCCATTATTTCCATGTTCAAGCCTTAATGGTCTGCAGTATGTCTCATTATGCAATACAATGAGACTTCTCAGCCATGTAGATGTATTTCACTAAATTTCTGGGGCATACTTCAATGAATAAACCGAACACGCGACATGGGATGGAAAATATAAGTGATTATGACCAGCCTAATTCCCATGGCCTCACCACTACTCTTCTAGGCACCCCAGGACTGCTTTTACATAAATCACATAACCACCACGAGAAAAGGACATTTGTCGCTAATGCACCTATGGTGAAACACCACCCAAACAGAGAGGCAGTGAATGAAGGTTGGTAAGTGCCTAAAACTGGAAACTCATGAGGCGCATCTTATGTAAATATAAAGCGACGAAATCCTAAAATAACCTGTTCATCCCTACCTATACCCAACTGAGCCCAAGACGTAAATATTCAATGAAAACAGGCAAAAAAAGGAAGAAAGAAAGAAAGAAAAAAGGGGGGAGGAAGTTAAATAATAGAATATGCAAAAGATAAGTGGTCGGGGCGTAAGGTCAAGGGGATACCTAGGTATACCTCACGTAGCACAACAAAAAGATGCGTATCGTAATATATTACCGGGGGGGGAAACAAGAGTCCCGTGTTGTATCATCCCAATCTATCGGCAGAACGTCATTCATCCTCTCCCTCATTTTGCCCGAGAGGTCTATATTGCTTGTTATTTGTTCTGTGTTCCAACCCCTTATGCCGAGTCAGCATATTTGATATCCAACCGCCAATCCCTTCAGATCTGCCGCGATCTTCCTCCCGAGAGCCAGTTGGACTGGATTCACTGGGGCCATCATTATTAATGCCTGGGGGGTCGATTTCCAACCCAGGAATGGCATTTCCTGCACCAGGTTGGGCATGCTGCCTTCGAATATCCAGGGAAGGCACGGGGGAACCAACACCCATGAGAGAACCACGCTCTCCTTGAGTAGTTGGTGTCGGCATGGCTGTAGTGGCATCTCCAAAAAGAATATTCATATCTTCCAGTCGGACGCCACTAGTTTCTGGGTATAAAAAGTAAACTACCAGGTGGAGTTAGTGTAGTCCCTTGGGTCTAGAGTAGTGAAACTAACCAAGCACGAAACTGCATGCACAAAAAAAGGCATGTACAAGATAAAGTCGCCATTTTATCGCAGCCTGAAGGACAGGTGTAACTTCCCCAACAAGCCAATTGAAAGCCCAGTTAGCGGCTGTGCTAAGACTGGCACCCTTGGCGCGAATGCTCAAGGGCAGGATCTCAGGGGGGTATAACCAAGGTATGGGGCCCCACGAGGCGCCAAACGCAGCATTGTAGATCATAACAAGGATGACTGTGAGGGTGGGTGTTGCGGCAACGTCGATATAGATAAAGTATGATATCAAGGAGAGCGAAATAATCATAGCAACTGCTCCAGACAGCAAAATTGGACGCCTTCCCCAGCGATCCACAAGGTACCACGGTGGAACAGTGGATGCGAGATATGAGATCCCGTTGATGCCAGTCATGAGAATTGCGTCACGCCCTGCCCAGCCTGCTGATTCGAAGACGAGGGGTGCATAATATGATATGACATTGATCCCGTTCAGCTGCGCTAATGCTTGCGCAGACATGGCTATCAGAACACGTTTATGGTATCGCTTGAACATATCAGCATAAGATCTTTGATCTTCTTGTCGTCCTAAGAGAACGTCCATTTTAATATCCCTGTATTCCTGTCGAGCTTTGTCGTTGTGCAAGTCTCCTTTACCATAAAGATTTGCAATTACCACCATGCCTTCCTCATCATGATCATTGTCCAAAAGCCACCTAATTATTATACATAAGTAAAACCGAGTTTGTTTGTTTTGTTTTGTTTTTTTTTTTTAAAAAAAACTGTACTTACCTGGGGGATTCACAGATTATGAGGCTTCCTAGGCCAAGAAGAGCACCCATGACACACTGGAACAACAATGGCAGGCGCCACGAATAGTTGCTGTCAATAAAGCTACAGAAATAGTCAACCCACACGCTGGCTGCATAACCTGAAATATTTCCAGTGAACTCGATACATGCCAGTTTACCCCTATTGTGTGGTGGCTTGTAGTCAAGATAATCAGCATAAGAACAAGACACAGGCGTGGGGAGGATTCGGGGTTGATGGCTATAAATACCGATATCTCAGATTGATAAACAGGCACAATTGTCGACAATGCCCCAACTCCCAGACCCGCGATGACACGACCAACCATCATCATGGGCAACCCCGTTGCGAATGTTTGGAATGCACCACCGATGAAAAATACAATGGATCCATAGAGTATAGTTTTGCGGCGCCCTATCAAGTCGCCGATCCGTCCCACAAGTAACGAAGATATGAGCGCTCCAACCTCGAGGATCGCGACAACTGTGCCGATTGCAGCCCGCGACGGTTGGTTAAAGTAGTCCTTAAAATACCAGCCTCTGCTATATTGTTAGAACGTACTTGAATCTACCACAGAAAGACTCGTGGCATTTTAGTGGAGGACAACGAACGTAATGATTCCAGACATGACCCCCTGATCATAACCAAATAGGAAAACGCCCAACGACACAAAGACACTGGTAAAATATCTATGTGTATATCAGTAAAAATAGCATGGAATATGGCCTGCGTATAAATATTACTTACAGTAGCGGCTTTCCGACCAAGCCATGTATTTGAGCAGCATGTCTATTATTTGGAGACATTATGATGGCCAGAGAGCGTTCTATCCGCGATATATACCTAGGAGATGGTCTGGGTATATTTATTGATGCCTTATCAAATTCGGCAAATCGGCAGCTGGCAAGCTGCTGTGAATATTGCACACGCTTTGGCTGCCTCGCCCAGGCCGTTTCACTGTTATCACGGTCCAGTGATGTTCCGAGGCCTATATGGAGAGGATCTTCTGTTTCAGCAAGCTGGTCGGCTAAATCACCAGCACCGGTCCAGATGGAAAGGTCAGATTCAGCAGAATGGGTGGAGAGAGAAGAACGTCGACTGTCCTTCTCGCTGACCGATTCCAGCAACCCGACGGAAGCTGTGGAGGCGGGTCCAGACTGAGTATGTAGGGACCGGAGGGGTATGCTTGGGGAAGTGCCTGATGAAGACGTCGTTGAAGGAATGTTGGCGGTAGTAGTGGGCTGATATTGACAGCCCTCCGCTGTTAAAAAGGGTAAGCAAATTAGGGGCAATAGGCAAGCGAAGAATAGCCCACGAGCAGGTGATTCAGTCACGCCACACTAGGCTAACCAAAAATTTAAGGCACATAGAAAATAGTATGCTGTCTATCAAACCTGTTCAAAGGGATGAATGATAGGGTGGCTAGTGTGTGTGCCCTTGGGTGAATGAAGTTAATGCAGCGAAACCTCAGGTCAAAGCAGAAAAGCCAAGGGGAAAAGGCAACAGTTTACAAGGGTACAAAAATCCAAAGTTACAATAAAAATTCCCAGGAAACCTCACAAGACAAATAAAGTATCTCTGATGCAAGATGACGGAGGTCGGGATTATTGAGCCCAAAAGACGGTCAGGTCAGCTGGAAAGCTCAAAAAAGTCGCCAAATTGGTCTGCCAAGTAGCGGACAACCAAGAGGCCCAGGCTAGCAGGATAAGACAAGGCAATATGCGTTAGAGGAAAAGTCATACAAAACACAGCATGTATGTTGGAAGTGTAGTGCTATGCAGAATGCAGAGTACATACAGAGAAACTAAGGCAGGTGGAGGAATGGAGTTGGAGAATGGGCCAGCCCTCTCAAATGACAGGTGCGGTTCTGGGGTAGGTTGGCACTACTACTACTACTACCTGGTAGCGCTGTGGGTACTATGTAGGTAAGTACTCCGCAGTCCGTACTCACGGTCTCACACTGTCTGGGTGGACTCAGGTGATAATTAGTGTGGAACATAGTACTAGGTACAGAGTACTCTGTACTCCATAGTTACTCAGTTACAGTAACTCTACCAGGTATATAAAAACAAACAATTTTAAACAGGTGGTCTACCTGTTTCATTATTTGCCTATATGCTGCTTATATATCAATACACATGACCTTTATATCCCGTCTACTTTAGGCTATTCCTAAGGAATCAGCTGCATCCATATATCAGAAATTAAATGAGATAAGGACCTTGCTTCATTAAAGAGCAGATATCATTAATACCTTCATAGGTAATTATAATGCAGAGTTACTATAACTACTCTGGTTGGTGAAAGTCACCACCAACTACCAACCAGTCAGCCTGATAGTTGCTATATACCACATATTAGGCAGGTAATACTGGGAACCTCTGTGGATGCTGCTTGAGTACCCTAGGCTACCTATTAGGTAGACAGAATATGCTAAGATACCTATCTGAGCGATGTAAAATTTATCATTACTCCTACCTATTTAATATTATTATTTACATTACATATTATGGAAATGTCCCTAAGGTATGGGAATGGTCTCACTGTGCTAATTGCAGACAGTCTTTTCTGTTGCTCCAAAATCTATGTTCTTATATCACTCGAAGCAAGCTCTTGTTATTTTATTTCTTCATTAGGTACTGTGATACAGGGTGTCTCCTCATCATGAGGTCATACTTCTGTATGGTAGTCTCCTACCTAGAATATCCGGGCTAACTACGATGCATTGTCTAAGAGGATGTACCTACGTCATGCTGGGTTTCTAAGGCTAGGGAGGACCCACGTCTTGCTTAGTGGAGATGACTATCTCTCCAGGCTGTAAGGTCTACTGCATATTCTACAATGTCTACCCAATATAGTATTCCGAAATTTTCATTTTAATGCATGGTGGTTATCTAAGAGATCTGCCTAGTTTAAATAAAAAGTTCTCAAGTTAAAAGAATGTCATATCCATCCTTTTGAATGTACACAGCATCCGCGAGATTGGCATACTTACGACGTACCAATTCAAATATCACAAGACCAGTGCTCGTGCTGGGCACTTGGCGGACCGCATTCGACAAAAACCCACGAAACAGCCATCTGCCCCAGCCACCAGCCCGTACAGCCTTCCTTTTGCATCGTTTGTATGTTTCCCGATATGCAGAGTAATAAAGGCGCAGCATTTGTTTCCTCGAAGGGTCAAGGCTGGCTTGACGATCAAGATATTCCAAGCGACCAAAATGAAGGGTTTGTATCACGCTGAGTGGGTGCTGTATCGCCTGCTGGGCTATAGATGCTGCGACACCTGCCATCATTAGAAAACATGGCTCCAGGGCGTAGTGGGGTTTTATTAGTGGTACACCGCGATCACTTGACCCAGATGGCTGCATTTTGTCAACATTATGCGCGCCCAAAGAGCCATAATATCCCGTAATGAATGAGTAATATGCCTGCGACTTAATATACTCGAACGATGAGAAAAAGATGGCATATCCCAGGGAATCTCTTAGGAAAGACAAGCTCCAGCCTGCAAAAATTCCACGTATGCCAATTTGCTTGAGTTTATGTTGTCCATAATGCCACATATGCCGGTATTGGCCATCGAGCATATCATTGGCTCGAAGACGGATCTGTAAGGCGTCTAAAGGTGCAGCAACAATTGACTGAATGGTACCTGCCGCAAACCCTGCCACAAATGTATCTGACGGAGGGGCAGGGGGGTATATGCGCCTAACACCGCGTGACATTGGTTCATGTAAGGCGCCGAGAACCTGAAGATAAGAGGTGTAAAGGACAGCTCCAATCCTAGCCATAATCATTAGGGTTTTGGTGATCTATAACGAAAAGACAAAACGAATACACCCACCCTGCATTTGCCAGAAGAGGAGGCATCACTTGATTTGGGATGAAGCGCCACCCGTATTTACGAACGGCATGGACAAGCAGTCCAGGTGTAGTTGTGTGCAATGACCACCCGCCTTCTCCCGCATGAGGATTGACAGCTCTTGCAAATGCCTGTTATGTTGAACCAAGACAAACGTATATTAGTTGACGTTCAAGGGTTGTCAAAGGCAAGTCTGGCTAAGGTACCATGTAACTGGAATAATAAATCAATCCAAGTTGTCTAACAAAGGAAGTGATTTACATACTCAACTCGAGTGCGAAAAAATGCTTTCGCAGGGGCTCTAAAATAGAACGAAACAAACTGTGCACTTAGAGCACGAACCCCAGCAGCAGATGCTCCAGTTGCTGCATTATTGCGAGGATTTTTTGGAGAAGAGCCTTGAAAATCCCAATCAGGAACATGGTCATCGACACACTTCTCGTTCCTCATGGTAAAAATTGTTTCAGATGCCATTATACAGATAAATGGTGGGGAAACTCTCCATCAGGAATCCAGTGTTATGTGAATGTGTAGCATATACATCTAAAGGGTCGAGTCGCATTCATGGTATCAGTTTGAGGCCCGAGAGTACATTACTACAAACTAATCAGCTTGTAAACAGACAATTTTCATCAAAACGGTAGAAAGACAGACTTGCTTTTTTTATTATTTTTATGAATAAATAGATAAATGAAAAACAGATAAAATGGGGTAGTTAAGACTTGGTCAAAAATATATCATCACCATAATAATAATTATAATAGTGACTATAGCTCTGCGAGACAGCTCAGTAATTCGAAAAATACCTTCGTCTTCAGAAAGGATGTCAATTGATCAATTAATAGGGACCCAGGTGTGGGACTTCGAATGGAATGTACAGAGTAGAGTAGTGTCTTCGAAAGGCGGTGCGGGCTGCTGGTATAGTAACAAACATTACAAACATTGCCAATTATGGGTTAGGTCAATCCAGAAGTGCAGGTCAGAGAACGCGCTTCGCCGCTCTCGCGTTTGCAGCTTTTAAAGATCTAGCTTCCTCCCTGTTGTTGTTAGGAACATACTTCATACTTATGTGCTCTCATTGTATTCTACCATCTAGCAGCAATAATTTACAGGCTACCATTTGCACTGAAGTGCTTCAGTCTTCTATGAAATTGCTGCTAAGTTCTGGAGAAAACGTGAGAATTCTCGAACTGTCAGGTAGAAGAGTCAAAATCACATCTCCAAACACAGCCCACCATGGCTGAGGAAATAGTGATTGACAAAACAACCTTTTTCAATCGACTATCTAGCTTTTATGCAGCATGGAAGGCAGACAAGCGATCAACCAACGCCGTATTTGGCGGGGTGGGATCGATTGTCGTCCTGATGGGAAAGACTGATGAAGCAAATTCATTCCAAAAGAACAACGCGATGCATGTATGTTTCATATTAAATTCCCCTATTATTTTTTACTGTTTCAGGACACTAAAATACTAATGTATGGAAATTTAGTTCTGGCTTCTTGGCTATGAATTTCCAGCTACACTTTTGATATTCACAACTGAAATGGTTTATGTTGTGACCACTGCTAAGAAAGGTGATTCTATATTAAGCGATACAAATGTAGGGCCCGGGATCTAACGCGGTATCATTCATTGCAGCGAAACATCTTAGCCCACTCAAAGGCGGCAAGATCCCAGTTGAAATTTTGGTGACAACGAAGGACCCAGAGCAGAAGATGAAGTCCTTCGAGAAATGCTTGGAAGTCATTAAAACTGCTGGGGTGAGTGCCCTTTCCGGCCACATAGAATATAACATGGTTAAAGACTGACTTGAATATATGAATGAAAGAAAAAAGTTGGTGTCTTACCAAAAGACACAGCGAGTGGTCCTTTTGCAGATGAGTGGAAGCGCGCATTTGCAGACGTATCAAAGGAAGTGGAAGAGGTTGATATCACGCCTGCTCTTTCATCTGCCGCTTTCTCGGTGAAAGATACTGATGAACTGGTGAGTCTGAGAAGGGAATATTATGGATTCAGAGTGACTAATGCCCCGAAGGTTTCTATACGCAATGCCTCAAGGGCTTGCAGCGGACTAATGTCCGAGTACTTCGTGGATGAAATGTCGCGCTTACTCGACGAAGAAAAACAGATGACACATAAATCACTCACAATGCGAATTGACGCGAAGATTGATGACGCGAAATTTTTCAACAAGTTAGCAAGATTACCAGCGGAATTCGACGCTCAGCAAATAGACTGGGCTTATGGGCCTGTGATCCAAAGCGGGGGCAAATACGATCTGAAAATCACAGCTACATCTGATAACAACAACCTTCAGCCAGGAATCATCATCGCGGGGTTTGGTATTCGGTACAAGACATACAGTTCAATCATCGCTCGCACCTATTTAGTTGACCCGAGCAAGGCTCAGGAAGCAAACTATGCTTTCTTATTGAGTGTCCATGAAATAGTCATGAAAGATATTCGCGACGGTACTGTCGTGAAGGATTTGTACAACAAAGCAATTGGTCTAATTCGAGCTAAGAAGCCTGATCTGGAGACTCATTTTGTTAAAAGCATTGGTGCTGGAATTGGCATTGAACTTCGAGATGCGAATATGGTGTTGAACGGGAAAAACAACAGAATATTGAAGAGCGGGATGACTCTTTCAGTAACTGTTGGATTGACAGACGTTGAAGATCAAGGATCAAGGGAAAAGAAAAACATTATGTATTCAATGGTTATCACGGATACTGTTCGTGTTGGGGAAAATGGTCCACATGTGTTCACCAAAGATGCCGGTATTGACATGGATTCAGTTTCTTTCTATTTTGGAGATGAGGAAGAGCCTCAAAAACCCGCCAAAGAGAAGAGAGAAGCCAAGTCAAGCGCCATTGCGAGCAGGAATGTGACGCGGACGAAACTTCGAGCTGAGCGACCAACTCAAATTAATGAAGGTGCAGAAGCTCGTCGTCGTGAACACCAGAAAGAACTAGCCACAAAGAAGACCAAAGAAGGACTTGATCGCTTTGCTGGCACTACTGGAGATGAAAATGGCGTCACCCAAAAAAAGTTCAAACGGTTTGAATCATACAAGCGGGATAACCAGCTACCAACAAAAGTCAAAGATCTGTCGGTTTACGTTGATCACAAAGCCTCGACTATCATTGTTCCTATCATGGGTCGGCCGGTACCATTCCATATCAACACAATCAAGAACGCTAGCAAAAGTGACGAGGGCGAGTATGCTTATCTCCGTATCAATTTTCTTTCCCCAGGCCAAGGAGTCGGTAGAAAAGATGATCAACCTTTTGAGGATTTATCGGCACATTTCTTGCGGAACTTGACTTTAAGATCCAAGGATAACGGTCGACTTGCTCAAGTCGCACAGGATATTACGGAGCTTCGAAAAAACGCATTGAGACGAGAGCAGGAGAAGAAAGAAATGGAAGATGTGGTTGAACAAGATAAGCTCGTCGAAATCAGAAGTACGTAACAATCCTCAGAGGTTCTAGGAATGTCTACTGACTTGTACTTAGATCGTCGTCCTGTGAAGCTTCCTGACGTTTATCTTCGACCACCGCTTGATGGAAAACGTGTCCCAGGAGAAGTTGAAATACACCAAAATGGTCTTCGTTATATGTCGCCATTCCGTAATGAGCATGTCGATGTTCTTTTCAGCAATGTGAAACACCTTTTTTTCCAACCTTGCGCCCATGAGTTGATCGTGCTCATTCATGTTCATCTCAAAACACCAATCATGATTGGAAAGAGGAAGACGAGAGATGTGCAATTCTACAGGGAAGCCACTGAAATGCAGTTTGACGAAACTGGGAATCGCAGGCGCAAGCATCGCTATGGAGATGAAGAGGAATTTGAAGCGGAGCAAGAGGAGAGGCGCCGAAGGGCGGCATTAGACCGGGAGTTCAAAGCTTTTGCTGAGAAAATCGCCGACGCTGGAAAGGATGAAGGCGTTGATGTCGATATCCCCTTCAGAGAAATTGGGTTCACTGGTGTTCCAAATCGGTCTAATGTTCTGATACAGCCGACGACTGATGCCCTTGTTCAATTGACGGAGCCGCCTTTCCTTGCCATTACTCTGAACGAGATTGAAATTGCGCATTTGGAGAGAGTGCAGGTAAATTTACCGCAATGGAAGTATATTGTGTCTATTGCTAACCCCCTTTGCTATAGTTCGGACTCAAGAATTTCGACCTCGTCTTTGTGTTCAAGGATTTTCACAGACCTCCTGTCCATATCAACACAATCCCTGTCGAAGCTTTGGAGGGGGTCAAGGACTGGCTTGATTCTGTCGACATCGCATACACAGAAGGCCCCCTCAATCTGAACTGGACTACAATCATGAAAACAGTAGTGAGCGATCCGTATGGATTTTTTGCCGATGGAGGTTGGTCGTTTTTGGCAGCAGAGTCAGACTCCGAAGACGGTTCAGGAGACGAAGAATCTGCTTTCGAGCTTTCTGAATCTGAGCTAGCTGCAGCAGATGAAAGCTCGGAGGACGACAGTGAATTTGACGATGATGCTAGTGCTGACGCTAGTGAGGATTTCAGCGCTGACGAGGAGAGTGGAGAGGACTGGGATGAACTTGAGACGAAGGCTAAAAAGAAAGACCGAGAAGGTGGCTTGGATGATGACGACCGCGGTAAGAAGCGTAAACGGTGAACAGACTTGATAGCTGGTGGTATCAGGTTATTGGATTTACTCTTTTTCTAGTCGGGGTGGGGGGCGTGGTGTTGCTTGAATTAAGGGATGGTTCATTTCCCTGAGTATGTATAATAATAAATTGTGAATCAAGAAAATTTGACACGAGAATACTACATTTGCATCCTCTAGATAGCTACCATTATCGACACTGGTATATATCTTGGTATAATTTATGACATGTTTTATGGGAGGGGAAGAACGAAAAGAATCCTCTAAGCTTAGTTCAATGCAATATATGAGTAGTAGGAACCCATTGACTGACTGAAATTCACTGTAAAATTATATTATATATATTATTTGCCCTCCCTCATGGATGACCACATACCTCTCATCCTCTTCATTTGACCAGGGGTGAAAGTCTCATAACACTCATCAGAGGAATAATCCATGAAATTATGGATTGCATCCAGACCAGGAGAATCTGGACATGAATTTTTGCGAGCAGGACATCCATCTGTGGGTATAGATTGGACTGGGGTGTCTGCAATATAATCACCGGGATTATCTGGTGAACAAGACTCTCCCTCAAATGTGTGAAGAAGGCCATTCCAGTGACCGATTTCATGGATTGCAGTGCCACCCCGATTATAGTGCATTAACGATCCCCCAGGCATCGTTTTAGCAAGCACATTGCAACCATCTTTGACGTAAGCACTTCGAGGGCTGCTTGCATTAACACTGGGATCAGGCAAGGTACAGAATCCCAATACACTGGAGGATAATTGATTCGAAACATGAGAATTGCGTTTGTTTTCGGGATTGACAGCTCGGGCTCCTGCACCATGGGATGCCTGGAGATTGGTTTGAAAATAAACATTGAGAGTACTATAGCTTCCCCGGCGAAGTGCGGCTTTCATTCCCAGATCATCCGCATTGTGCGCCCAGGTGTTGTTGACTGACCGAGTGATACCTTCAAGTCGATAAGATATTGTGACATTCTCATATGCATTTTGCAGGTAAGAGAGCTTGGGGTGGTCAGAAATGAGTTTTGTTGGTCAAATTCAAAGTCGCCGCCAGCGAAATACCACTAACCTGCTCATTAATCATGCCATCCGTGACTATTTCAGATTCCTCCTCACTACTCACGATGTGAAACCATGTCTCTATTTCAATCGGAGTCACGCGCTCTCTGCTTTCATGACCAACAACATACTGATTCATCTCATCTGCGCTCAAATGTTTATGTGCCGCTTTTAGCCGATCATTGGGCGCATGAGTGGCGCAGAATGCACGAGCATGGTGGCCAGATACCGTGTGTTGACACTGGATGGTGGCGATTGTCAGGATGAAAAGAAGCTGAAGGCCCCCAAGTCGAAACATATCGTCACTCTTGGTCCAGAGATGTCAGTTTCCCGCAGGAAACGGCTATTGTTAGGTATTAAACCAAGGAAATCGTTGCCAGTAGCTACGCAGAATGCGATCAGCTTCATGCGCAATTTTCAGTACCAGGAATGTTGTGCGCCACCGGCATTCTCTGGCAAGGGATCGAGGCAATGTCCAGTCGAAAATGAATTTTGTTTGGAAACCAACCACTAGTTGCTGTCCATCCATAATAAACCAACACTTATCCTGGCATGGAAAAGGAATTGAAGAATGTATGGGTACATTTCAATAGCAGCACATTAAAAATTGAATAACTCCATGTACGAATGACTCCTAAGCCAGACCAGATCGGCCGTGGTTAACCATTTTCTAATCCACGCGGCAGTAGCGGAAGTTTGGCAAGATAGAGAAATCTAGGGGTACATAACACAGGACATACAGCAAGAGAATTAGGAGTACAGTGGCAAACTCAGGGATTGTGTGACCCAAATCTAGGTTCTCTCCCTGTTGCAACAACTGTACTGTCTTGCTCCGTATTCCACGTTAAATAGGTGTGATCGCCAAGTTTCCTGGACAGAGTGAGTCGACGTTCAAAAGGAGGACAGGGGAGTGCCATTTAGCTTTCATACCTGGGCCTAAATAAGTGTGCAACCGTAAATACAGCTCCAAGCACAACACAGAGTCCACCGACAACAACATAGGCAATTCCCATAAAAGGGTTTTTGCCCCCAATGACGGTGCGGGTAGATATAAGAATGGATTTTGTACCGCCGTACTCAGTTACAGGGAAATCTGGATCTTGTTTAGCTCGCGGCCTCCATAGATGATAACATCAAACATACGGTCTTCAATTTCCAGCTGGTAAGTGCCCGATGCCATGGCCATGGTGTCATTTCTCCCAGAAAGCTTGCTGAAGGCTGGTAATCCTGCAGTTCTCATCCAAACCATGAAATCTTCGTCCTCATGGATATCAGAAAGGTTCTTGTCAGAATAGCCATGTGGGAACCGTTTCTGCCAGTTCGGTGGTGGCACAACCTGCCCTGATTGGTATTGTGTTTTCTTGATAAGTTCCCTGTCACTTTCCCAGGCAATACCTTTTTTTGTCATGACATATTGTGCGCCATCATTGGCGCCTGAAAGCACTGGGCTATTGATTGAATCATTGAAAAGGGAGTTTGCAATCAAGCCACAAGGATAATATGCTTTGTTTGTTATCGGGTCAACAGTAAGCGGATCGCAGGCGCTCCCATTAATTGTAGCATTGTCAACAGCTTTCCCCTTCAGTTGATCCAAGTCCAAAGATTGTACATATCTTCGGTGATTTTGGTAAAAGTTGGTAAGACGGTAGTACATAAACACAGGCGGTCCAATATCTTCTGGGATGTAGAACGATAAGGTGCAAATAGTTGCATTCGTATCATTTCGGGTGCTGCGCTGCCAGGTCGGAAATTTAGGTTCCTTTGAAGATCTGAAAGAGGATTCGAAGTTATTGCGAATCTGCTCTTCATGGGTCACGGGTGCTTTCTGGGCGCATTCAGTGTAATCTATTACTAATTCTTGTACCTTTTGTTGTTATATTAGAGCCAAGTAAGCCAGATAGGGGAGGAAGCTTACCTGTGAGCTTGCCCATATCAGAAGCCCCCCAATGGGAGCAAATATTATCCCAGCGACGAAAAATAGAGGCAATACGCTTTTGGGTGTCAAAATTGGTCTGTTCGAATTGCTGTCAGTTTGGAAATAATATAGAAATTCTCGAGATTGAAGACCTACTGCCAGGCTTTCAAGCGTTGTTGTCGAAAAGCAGTATCTAAATTTTCTACTGTGAGTTTCCAAGCAGAAAAAAAATAAAAAATTAGCAGCTTGCGAGAGACTTCTCACTGGCTGGCCTCCTGCTCTTAGGCTTTTTATCCCCATCCATTTCCCTCCCGCGGTCCTGTTCATCAAAAGATTCAACACCGGTTACCTCTGTTTGAGGCATGACTCCAGTGCTGTGATATTCTGGGGTTAAAATATAAAAATAACGAGAAAATGTTTATTGCGATTATTTGGTATGTTGTACTGCGAGGGAATATGACTTCTAGGCTCTGGCTTGGGAAGTCCTCCAGGTGGCGAGGGCGTGATGGTTATTTAATAGTAGACTACGGAGTACTATTTGGTAGCACATATTCCACTAATTTCTACCTAGCTACTCCGTCCGTCTCGCGGAAACTAGTAATTTTCCCTCTATTTTATGTATGGAGTATTCCATCCCATTTTATCTAGGTTAACTGTTATCCTTGTTGTATTAAATTATACATTAACTACCCTAGTTACTTGTTTCCTTTTCCTTTCTTTATATATTATACCTTCCTACAGTAGGTAATTAGGTCACCTATTCTTTATACCCCTCTACTGTAATCACACATTGCCTTCACCTATCTATCTAACAAGATAAGTGGTAGCTGTGGAAAATTATAGTAAATTAACTTGCCATAAGTAAGTGACTGATACATGGGGGGGTACCCACATAATGGTGGGCTAACTTGGGTAGTAACAAAAGATGTATGTTTATTACTAATGCGTGCAGGGAACAATTGACTCAGGGAGCATAAGGTTGGAAATTAATAAAAACGGTCTGGGAAATCTAATCCAATAATCAGTACTAGTACTAACCGTCTTCAAAGTATCTAGGTTGGTGTTACCTTTCCTTGTTTACCTCTGGGCTTAGTGGATGATCATTGAAAATAATCCGCCAAATCTCCCATTCCATCCCACCCATGCAGGTGATTGAATGATCCTAAAAAAAGTGACTAGAATTTACCAACCATCGTTCAGAATTTGACATTAGGAGATGCACCGGTTGTCCATGTTAAAAGCCAAGTAACTGAAAGTAGTGGTGACCAAAAAATTCTCCACTGGAGTTCAGAAGGAGACGGTCACCATGCACTAACTAAAGATAAGAAGGACAAACAAACAGGGAAGGCCAGTTATGAAACCACAACACTGAAGTTTAACCCCTGAAAACGCATTACTATGACCAACTGGTAAGCATAGGCCTGCTATGCTGGGAAAGGATATAACTAACATAAGAGCCAGGTACAATATCTGACTGTAAAGAGAGAAGACTAATCATCACAAGATGCAAGCAAGCTGGAAAAAGCATGCGTAGCATTGAAAAAAACTTCACTCGCAAAAAAAAAAAAAAAAATAGGAAGCAAAATAAAAAATCATGATGGAAGTTCATGGTAACATTCCCAGCCAATTTGGTATCCTTATACGATCATCTCCGAAAGTGTTGAAAAAGTTCAGGTTTAAACCAACCAACCCGCTCATATGCGGTCCAGAGTTTGCTGGCTTTGTTTACGTCAATCTTGCAAGCTTGCTGAGCATCTGTTTTGCGAAATTCTTTCCCAACATTCAATGCCCTGACACGAGCTTCAAAAATGCGACGTTTGCTGCACAAATATGTTGCGCATGAAAGCCTTAAGGTGGCAGCAAGATTGGTTTCAGCTGAGCAGAGCAAATGCCGATCTGGATCATTGCTCAAATCTAACATCTGTCCTTTCCAGTCTGCTTTTAATGCCTTCGCATTGCCACCAAGTGTCTCCAATGGAGGCGAAAAGTCCTTTAGGGAGTTGTAATCAGTGTCATCCCGGTTTGTGCCTAAGGCTCGAGGTGGTTTCGAGCTCGATGGTGGAGGTAAGTCAAAAGAGTCGACAGCCTTCTGCTTTGGAGTAGATTTTGGTGTACGCTTAACTCTAGAATTTCGTTGCACACGTGGTTGGGCAGTAACTGCCCTTTTTGCCGGGGCTGGCGCGATTTTCTTCAACTTTGCCTCTAGAGCTCTGGGGTGACAGCGATTCATCATGGCCAGCTGACGCTCTAGGGTTTCTCTCTCCTCTTTAGCCCAGGCTCTGGGGTTGCGGTTATACTGCGCTGAAACAATTGGCACACATGAAAGAGCCAACAGGTACTCATCACGTGTCGGCTTGTTCAACTTATTCTCAAACCTTGCCATGTGAGAACTGATATGTTGTTCAACCAGTGCTTCTGCTGCGGGTGGCAGCATGGGCCCAAACAGTGGCTCATCAGCGGCAACATCAGTTACAGAATTGTGGCGAGGGAAAAGAACGGGGTCTCTCGAGGAGCCAACAGCATCGCTCTCAATGTGCTCAGAAACGCTTTGCTTTCTCTTCTTATTCCCCGTGTATGGAGTAACAGGTGGCGAAGGCAAGTCCATTTCAGACTGTGTCCGCTTTCGATCAGCTGATATTGGGGGTAATTTAATGTCGTTGTTGAATGATGATTCCTGTGACATGGCAAAAGGTGAAAGTGCAGGGTTAAAGCTCTCCAGAGGTTTGGACTCTGGCGGGGACATGAGGCTGGAAACCGAAGGTAGGCGATTCATGTTGACTCTATGGCTTTGGCCCAGTGAAGTAGCAGAGAATGAGGTCATTGTATCTGGAAGGGAACGTTGTTCCCAGATCCTGATGGTGCAAAGGCACAGGAAAAAAATGGGGAGGGGAGTGGTGGGGAGGGAGGGGTATTTTGGATGTGCAGTATTATATCACAGTTTGCAGTATGCAAAACAGTGATTATAGGCCCTGAATGATGGTTGATGATAAAGGCTGATGGGATGTTGTTTATGGAAGTCAATGGAAGTGGGATAGCATATGTTGGCAAAACACACGTGAAAGTGATTTGTCAGGGACACCTCTTTGTCTTAAGTGGCAATAGGCAGATATGGCTTAGGTCTCGGCGATAAGGCTCACAATGGCTGAATAGTAAGTTTAACTGAATGCTCCAGTACTTCAGACATCAGGTACTTATATGTATTAGGCTGGAGAGATGAGGTGTGGAATATGGTTCTATTGACCCCTGGCAAATCCCAAGATGAGGAGGTGAACTATGAGTCAATGCGTCAGTGGTCTAACCTGATGTAAGTTGTAACATTGATAGGAACAAAACTGCGGGGTGGCGTGTGGCGGTAAAGGCATGCTACCATGTGCACACCACTGTAATAGTTTATGTATTGAAAGTCTAAATCTAACATAATTTTAAACAGTAACTTGAGGGATCATCAATTAATCATATTATAGAGCATTTAAAGTTTGCGGGTTGGGGTTATGATAAATAATAAATTTAGGGGAGAGGGATCTCTATGTTTTAGGAAGATGCTCTTAGTCTTATCTATGTATGCCACATGCTGGTGTTATTTATGAGTGCAGGCATGGGGATAGTGGGTAGGTCTTCGAATACTGCTAACCAAATTTACATCAGTGTTTGGGCATGGATGTACTCCATCCACTAGACTATCTTCTAAGAGGGGCTAAGGAATTGAATTTAGACTAGGTTGATAAGTAAGTGAATCACTGGTCATGCTGACACTAAGTCTGCTGCTACCTCAAGCCTGATGGCAGATGAGTCAAAGCTGTTATGGAGGGTTGCCTGACAGTCAGGCATGATACAGTCATACATATATACTGAGCCTACCTTGATACCTAGGTAGTAGGTATCCATGTTACTAATAGTAATACACGGACGCTGTAATCTACTACTATGTAGGTAGCTACCTATTAGGCTTCTGGGTAGGATCACTACCCCACTTCTAATACTGTGCAGTATCTACTGTAGGTAGTATGTATCCTTATGACCTTATCAGCATCAGCACTGCTGCCTTCTATGTGAAGTGTTTACTAATGAAGAGAGCACAGCATTAATCATCCCTCTGTCAGCAGACCCACACTGCGCACCATGTTATCTCAGTCCCTCAGACCACAGCTTCATCACGTGTGTCACATGACTAATTTATCCTAAAGCGGAAGCTCTAGAATGTATCGCTCAGCCGTGGTCTGAGGACAATCACATCAATTTATTAGAGACAGAGATTTTAACCACTAACTTCATTAAACTAGTTAAAAGCTATTCTTTTTATCCTATATTGTCAGGCCTGGTGGTGGTGATACTGCATTATTGGTACCCATGCTCTGCCATACAGGCTTTACATAGGTGGTAATCCTATAGAACTATCCCTTCGTCTGGTGTTTTGTTCATTTTAGCGTATTTTTATGGCTTGGCGCCGCAGTTTGACCACCAAACTCTCTCCATTATCTAGCTGGTCAGTGAGTTTACTGCCTGCAGAGCTCTTGTTTCTATATTTTAATAAATATACTACTAGCTATATATATTTATATAAGAAAGTATATAAAATTTAAATCATTTAAATATTAAGAGAGTGGAATTCCTCATTACATAAATAGCTAGAGTGAGGATAATATAAAGGTATTTTATAGGTTAAATACTCCTATATAGTTAATAAAATGGTTAAAGTTTTTTAACTCTCTAGCTTTAACTGCTTATTCTTATATTAATATTAAATATAGTAAGATTGCTTATTTAATAGCCTTTATACTTAAATATAAGGTAGGGAAGTATCTAATTAGGATATAGGAAGGCCTATTTTAGTGCTCTTTTACTTATTATACTGGGAATCCTTCCTATATTTAAATAGCTCTTAATAAAGCTTTTAGTATAACTAGAATTACTTTAAGATAGGAAGCTTTTACTTCTATCTCTAAATATAGTATATTCTATATATATTAATAACTATAGTATCTAGAATCTAGTAAAAAAGAGGCTACTAAGAGTAGAATATTAGCTAATAAGTAATATACTCTATATATAGCTAGTTAATAATATTAATACTACCTATATAGTGGTTATAATTACTAATTAGAGTTAGAATTTTAAGCTTTTTTTTTAATTACTTACTAAAAGGTACTCTAGTAATTACTATACTTATACTAGTCTTTAGTAGACACTTCCTCTCTCTTTTAATAAGGTTAGATATCTTATTAATAGTATATATAGTTAATAGGCTAGTAATAATATTATTATCCTACTATATAAAGTAAAGAATATTATTCTTAGGTACTATATAAAGTATATTCTACCTTATTTTAATACCTTATTCTTTTAATTATCTAATTAGGCTAGGAAAATTATTACCCTAGGCCTAAGTAGTACTATAGGTACTAATATCTTAATCTTAAAGTAATTTAAATAGGCTAATACTAGTAAAGTAATTATTAAGATAAATTATATAGTACTAAGGCTATAGTAGCAGGGCTTTAAGTAGTTAATATACTATAGATCCTATTATTATTAAGTCTTTATATTTTATAATCTTAATAAGACTGCAGCTGCAGCTAGTAGGTATAAATATATAAATATAACTATAGTCTATTAGTATAAAAAGCTTATATCTCTATAGGATAGGCTTATTAGGTATTTTAAAAGTATATAATAAATAGCTAAAGTATTTTATCATGACCTTATTAATAAATATCTTTAAAGAAGGCTAATAAAACTGCTTACTAGTAGCCTAGAATTATAAGATTATTAGATTTAGTTTATACTATTATATATTACTAATTATCTCTAGCCTAAAGGTGTATTTATCAGCAATTATTAGCTTATTTTAGTAGAAAGATAGAATAATATTAAGATAACTAGGAGTATTAACTGGCTCTATATATAATATATATAGATATCTCTTTATTTACTTAAATTAAATTAAGCTAATATAAAGTAATATTATATATAGCAGTCCCTTTAAAATATCCTAATACTAATATAAGGTAATTTATAGCTCTTTATAGACTCCTATATAGATAAGACCTCTAAGAAATACTATTATCTTATTCTTTATAGTAGGTTACTATAGTCTTTAATACTTAGCTAGGCCACTATAGCTATAATAAAGTTTAGTATAGTTATTTATATTCTATATTATAGATTCCTATAGATTATTAGGCAAAAATAGGTGGAAAAGTAATAGTAGGCTATTTATATTAAGACTAGGAGGAAGGAATAGCTTTAGAGGTATAAGAGTATTTATATTAAGTGCATTAAATTTAATAGTTTTTAGATTAGGTATCTAAGTAATTAAATTATCTATAGAGAGCTTTTTTAACTAGGTATTTTCCTCTTCTTTCTTTAGATCTTAATTAGCTAATTTAATATAATTATACTGGACTATCTTAGTATCTAGTAGCTATAAAGGAGGGGGTATATTAAGCTATAAAGCTATTATTATTACAGTAAATTTAAATATTAGTATACATACTAGTGTTTTTAAAAGTGGTAATAAGCATAGCAGAATAATTTTCTGCTGGAAGCAGTCTAATTTCTGGCTAATCAGGAGTGCCAAGGCTACAAAATATGCTAAAATGAACAAAACACCAGACGAAGGGATACCTCCTATATATAACATATATAGGGAATATATAGTAAATATATATATAATAATAGTAACTTAGTAATTAGTCTCTATATTAAGCTATATATATATTACTCTATTATAAATATTATATCATCTATATATCCCTATATTCTAATTACTCTAAAAATAGAAGATAGCCTATTATTTATAATTTTTATATACTACTATAGCTTTAAGAAATGTATATAATAGTTAAACTAACCCCCTATTATAAAATAATCTAGCTATATCTAACTAAAATAATAAGGATATTAGTAATAAAATATATCTAATACTATCTAGTAGTTAAACCTAGAGTTAAAATAATATAGATAAAGGACCTAGTAATTTATGAGATTCTAAAATCTTAAAGATTATAAACTTTATATTTAAGGAGTAACCTCCTATAAAGGGACTAATATAGCTAAAACTTATAATAAAGTAAGTTATATAACTAGAAGCTTAGAATAATATAAATAAGCTATATTAATAGATTAAAAGCTAATAATAAATAATAGATATACTTTAAGCTAACTAATTATTAATTAAAGTATAAATTTTAACCTTCTAAAATATAGCTTTTAAAGAAATATTAATCTTAATTATTTAAAGTAAATCTCCTTAAAGTAAACCTCCTTAAAGTAAATAAAATATATTAAGTAAATAAAATATATTAAGTAAATAACTATCTTAAGGTATTATAAAGGATTGAGAAAACTTATAAAATACTATAAATACTAATTATAAGGTAAAGAGAATATAAAATAAGATAATCTAATTTATAATAGAAAAATATAATAAAATACTTAATACCTTTATTAATAAAGAATTTAATATAACGTAATCGGACACCAAGCTGTGCAGGACACTGAGCTGCGTGGCAGGTGGTGGCTAACTCCACACCCATGATTCTAATGAAATACAGTCTTATTTTAAAGCTTTTTATACCTATATAAATGTAATATATTAAGAAATAAAAGAATAACTATTTAATAGGGCATTTTAACTAGTTATAACCTTCTTAATTATAATTACTATAGTATGTAGTATACTATAGCTTTAGTCCTAATAATAGACCTAGTTCTACTTCTCTCTCTCTCTTTATTATTTTTAAAGCTACTTAAAGGCTAGTTAAATTTCCTCTATTCTAAATATAATATTATAAAGCTTCTTCTTTTTTTAATATATTTTTA